CAATAAAAAGTGTAACTAACCGCCACTGCTGGCGGGGCCAAGAGCGCATTGTGAATGCTTTATGAGCCTTAGGAGTGCCATAATTTTCACTTAATAATCCGTTGAGTAGCTGGCCGTGATTTGTGGCCCAAGCCAGCGAGCCCCACCAGTAAATGTAATGAGCTGTGCCATGGTTTGTGCAGGGGGCGGGGGGTACGAACCCGGAGTCTGGGTTCGAGGGCATGACAAAACAATTTCAAAGTTTTTGTCGAAAACATAATGTGTTCCTAATTTTATTTGTCGCCAATTGGGAGCACCACGCACACTCACATCCACATCCACATCCACAACCACACCGCCCCGGCAGCAGCAGCTACCAACCATACATAAATTTATAGTGCGCGGGTCCAAAAAAAACACCTGAGCCGGAAAATATGCAGTATTAGGTGTAAGCTCCGACGTTTTGAATACATATTGGAGCCGCTGCCGGAAAGTATGCCAAAATAATAATAGCAATGCACACACAGCAGCAGCAGCAGCAGCAGTGGCAGCAGTGGCAGCAGCTGGTAAAAGCAGCAGCAACAGCGACAACAACAAGATTTAATGACCAAAATGCACATGAAATTGCGCGCGTAAACTAATTACGGCGGATAAAGTTAACAATGGCAGCGGTGGAGGCCCGTCGTGTGCCTTTGAAAGGCTTAACTGCCAGCAGTTTTTGGGGCCAGAACACAAGCTCAACGACGAGCAGCAGCAGCAGCAGTGGCAGCAGCAGCAACTGTCACTGCTTGCCAGTCCTGTGAGTCGTGCCAGTCTTGCTGTGGCCACAAGCCGCTCATACGCCAACGCCAACGCCAACGCCAACCGTTTGCCAGCATTACCGGCATTTACAATATTTATTTTAATATTGCAGGCTTTTTTGGCAGCACAACCAAACTGACTGACCTCCCACCATCGTCAAGACCAACCCCTTCTTTATTTTTTATTTTTTGTTTTTGTTTTTGTTTCTTTTTTTTTGCTCAGCAACATATTCTGTGTGTTATTGTGCCAAATTGTTTATGAAAAATTGCGTATGACGACGGCGACGACGACGACAAAAGTAGCCGATGCCGATGCCGATGCCGATGGCGTCGCTGTTGGCGCATAAATCAAGTTGCCTTGGCTGAGGATTTGGGCCAGAGTCGCCTCGGTGGGTCGGACTTGGTAATTACAATGTAGCCGCCTGTGAATTTAACGATCCGGGCCGCAACAGTGCCAACAATAAAAACACCAACAACAACAACAACAGTCGCCAACAAGCAAATGCGGAAACACAACAATTTTAACAGCGTCGTAGTCGAATCCTCTCCCCGCTGCTGCAGAAGGGTTGCCTGCTCCTGCTGTTTCTGCTGGACCAGGGTCAGTTAGCCTGGTCAGTTGGCTGGTCAGATGGGCTGGCTGGGTGGTCAGCCAGTCAGTGCGTGTTGGGGGCTGGCGGCATGTTTGAACAAAAGTGTGAGCCAAGTGGAAAATAACATTTAAAAATGCCATAACAATAACTAACAAAGACACCAAAAGCAAATGGCAATTGCAAATGGGCCACCAGCCGGCTCCCTTAACTGGCTGGCGAGCTGTTAGCCAAGCTCTACGAGCAGTAGGAAACTGGAAGCTGGAAGCTGCTGGCCCAAAGGCTGTGTGGGCCTGGCCGACAGAAATTAAATGGCGCGAGAAAATTGCACGGTCAGTGCGGAGTCTGAGTGGAGGGCAGGTTTACATAATTGCCAGGCGAAAAGGGAAAAGATGAGGAGCGAAAGATATAAAGGCAGTCAGACAGTCAGACAGCCAGACAAAGTGAGGGTGAGGCAGAATACACAATCGGACTTCGTGGGCCGGAATTGTATGCATAACTTAGTCACATACAAAAAAATGCAATTGGATTGGACTTTTCAAAATAAGACATTGCTCCAACAAGTTTTAAACAGATGATGTAAAGCCAGGCTTTAAACACGAACAACGAACTGAAGCGAATTCTGGAGATTATAATGGATTTACTTACAACCCGCTTAAGCTTGTTTAAATATTAAGTGATATCAATTGCAGATATCAATTTTTTATATTTGAATCAGCTTAAAAACATGAAGCTCTTAAGCTTATATGTATAAGTCTCACGTGTATTCGATAACTCGGTGAGCTCTGATAACTTACAGATATTTTAAAAATATTCAAAAAAATAAAAGAAATTTGCATGGAACTTAAGTCCAAAAATTCGTTCTTCAACTAAAAACACCAACAAATTATTTTAAAATCTAAAAGCTTTCTTATTTAATTTTCTGTATGTAGAAATATGCAAGTCATGTTATAATTTTAATTATTTTATATAACAAAACACTCACTTTGCCATTTCGAAACTATTTACTACCTAATCTTAATCTTGGTTAGTTAGTTGTCGTTTATAATTGGTGTTGACTAAGTTAAACTGGGCTTACAATTATCGGTTATTATATAGCAAAATGCAAATAATAAACTTAATCAGATAGATATATAGATAGACAGATGGATAGATAGAGGGACAGTCCTGAGGCTGATGCCACTCAGCAGTTGTGGCACTTGACTAGCCCCACCTCGTCACAGTTCATGCATTTGAGCGCTACAAATTCGGCCGTAAAGTGATTGCGATGCACAGACTTCTTGGAGCCGTTGCACGAGGGGCAGGGCAGAAGACGATACCCTCCACAGGTCTGGCAGGTATAGTTGCTGGCTATCGATTTGTAGGGCTTCAACAGTTGTCGCAGCTCCCCCGACTCGTTCATTCGCTCCACAGTGTCCGCATCGCCAATATGCTGACCCTCCACATAGAGCTGGGGCACGCGTATCTGTGAGGATTGCATACGTTGTCGCATCTCCGCCTGGTACTCCACGCTCATGAAGACATCCCGCTCCTCGAACTTGACCAGCAGGGTGCGCAGAATCTGTTTCAAATTGGCACATTTCGTGTAGGTGTCCCGTATGACGCCCATGCTGGTCGTATACAGCACCACCTTGCCCATATCTTTCTCCATGTAACACTGCGAATAACAAGAAGAAGTAGTAAAAAAAAAATAAATAAAAGATTAGAGCAGTAGTTCCAGTTCTACAGCTTGTGTCTGTGTTCGTGTCTCTGGAAAAGCAGGTCACCAAAAAAAAAAAACAAAAAATAAAAAAAACTTGAAATTGGCACAGAATTCGCCACAGCTCTTAGATTATAGCTTGCCACAACGGTCTTGATGACCATGAAAGAAGAACAAATGAGTTTTGAAAACTGGGAGAAGCATAAAACAATACCATATCCAAAGATAATGCATACAATGCAGCGACATTTTCCGCTTTCAACGGGAGAGAAATCTCTGGATTACAGAACTAGCCAAAAAAGAAAAGCAACTGTTGATGCAATATCGAATAACTTGGCTTGCCTAAGAGTTTCTATCGGTATTTACTTATATATGTATTTATATATATGTATGTGGAGTGTTTACAACCTGTTGGGTTCATTAGCTCTTTGACGCTAGCCGTTCGCCTCTCACGTAACCAAACGACTCTCCATGTCACTCAAAATCCTATTAATCAAATCAATTAAGCAATAATGGAAAAACTGCTAGCCAATTGGCAGCAACACACACACACACACAGCTACATAAACACACAATGGAAATGCGACGGTTTCCCGACCACAGTATTGTATTTATGAGATGGCTTATTTTGTAAGGCCGCCGCTGCCGAACCGGTTCGGGTTCACTCATTTCATTTGACAATTAACATTTCCGTTAGTTGGCCAACTTTGGTGCTGTCTGCTTTGGCTAATGAACTGTTTTCCAGCCAAGCAACCAAGCAGCCAACCACACTGGTATCAATGAACTGTGCAAGTGCAACCACTGCGAGTCCGTCCTGGAGTGCGGTGGAGGAAGATGTCCAAAATAAGACTATAACCCCCCAATGGAACCGGTGTAACGAGAATTTGCGCACAGCCAGTGCAAGCAAAATGCATGTCAATTCAAGATTAGACCGTTAGACCACGGAGCACTTGATAAAACTTCAGATTACAAGGCTGGCTGATGGACAACCAGACTATAGAGCAGTGTCCAAATGTCAACTACTATTCGAGCTGTGTCGTGATTTCATTCGTGGCACGAGGTGTCTTTTTCTACAAATAATCGAGTGCTGAGAAACTGTACACATTACCATTAATTCAAACTCCCCACTAAGCCGACAGCATATATTTATTTTATCATTTTTGAGGCCTTAACTACAAGTTACTGAATACATTTTAATAAAGAAAAACATATTTTGTGTCATATTGGATTTCCCATAGGCTTTGGACTGTTAGACTTTTACGAATGGAAAATATGTATGTAAAATAGTCAAAGTAGGCAATAATATTATGTATTCAGACGAAGATAATTTTCGAATAATTTGTGTAACAAATTGTATTTATAGCGCGCTGGTTGGCACACAATCTAAAAACAATTATTGCATTTAAAATAGTAGATTTTACATAATTTATTATAATATATGGATTTTTTTTCTCAATCGAACGGCTAATTTGGGTTTCGTGTTGCGTTTGAAATAACTGTCACCAGCTCGTCTCTATCTTAACTGCGCCATCAGCTTTAGCGACGTGAAAAATATACTCTTAATTTGAGACGGGAATTGTGAAAAATACATTGCAAATACATAAAAAAAAAATGTTTTAAAAGCCTCCAAACGACGAGCCAAAAGTGCACAACAAATCGTGAAAAATATCACAAAAAAACCAAATTGCTGTCAAAACGAAAGTAAACTTTTGCTGTGATGCAGTGAATGTCGCCATGTGAGATGCCTAGTGGTTTTCCCAATTCCATTTAAACAATTGTCCCTGGTGAAAACACACGAAATGATGTCCCCTCAGTCTATCTGAGCCCAATAAACTCTGCTGTTCAACTTCGCTTTGAGTTGAGATTTGATTTTGTGCGTTGCCAAAAAACATAAGCAATTAACACATATGATTTGCACGACCAACCTTGCTGCAGCAACACTAAATTTGTGTATACATATATTTGTTATGGTTTTTGACAAGTTGCAGCAGCAGCAGCAGCAGCAGCAGCAGCAAGAGGCGAAGAGGCGGCAGACGCAGTCGGATCAGTCGGAGCAGCCGCAGCTGCATGAATTGGTAAAAAGAGAAAGCAGGTCACTTGTATGGCCAGCAAGCAACAACCACAACAACAAAAACAACAAGGAACAGTCAGTTCGAGTGATTGGCAATCGAAGAGTTGAGCAACAAACAGCAGCGAGCAGAGAGTTGGAGATACGAGGCTAATGCCAATGCTGACAGCAGTCTATTTATGTGTGTTGTTGTTGCCAGACTAGTTGTGTTTGTTGCCTTTGTTGCTATTGTTGTTGTTACCTTCTCGAAGGTGACAAACTGAAGGCAACATCTTGATTGTGTACGTTTTTGTTTCTGTATTTATCTTAGCCAACAATTTGGCAGCCATCGCTCAAACATTTTGCTCTAATTGCGGCTTAAAGCAAAACTGTGTGCATCGAAACATAAATCAAAGGGCGGCTGTCGACCTGTTGTTACCAATATTAAATCTCCGAGACTCCAGTCAAAATACAAGAAAAGAAACAATGGCAAAACTTTTCACTTTCGATTCAGTGCTGATTGCTCTGCATGCCACACATTTCAACTAAAGTATAGACAGACATACATTTGCCACTGACAGCTCACATGTGGGCTGCATTATAATTAGCAGCATCTGAGTTTTGTGATTGTTATGCAGATGATGATCGCATTGTTGTTGGCGTCCAGCTCGGGCTTCTTTCGATTTGGCTAATTTGCATGTGCGCCGCTATAATGCCATAAAACATTTCTTTTCTTTGGCATTTAGCTAATTTATGCTGATCTGACGAGCAGTTGCTGAGCAGTCTGCTCGAAACATTCCATCAAATTCATCATCAGGCCCAAAGTCAAGCTCTATAAGTTTGAAAGTGAAATGCAAGAAAACAAACTAGCCACAAACGAAACAATTAAACTGATCTTAAATCTAAGCATTAAGATAGATAAAGGGAAATTTCGTGGTCTTCTTCTTTCTGGGGAAGTGAAATGCTTGCAACTTGACTAACTCAACAATAAAAGCTAAAGAGCATAAATAAAGACAATAAACCAGCTCTCAAAATAATTATATTCAAATGGTTATTACTGAGTAGCGGAAATTTTCATTGAAACTTTTATAGAAAAACTGATTTTGATGGTATTTTATCAAGGTAACTGTTTGCGGATAACTCTGATAAAGCTACTGATGGAAATGAACTAGTATTGAAATCTTTTGAATTTGTTGTTATACTTCAAAATATTCATTATAAATTCAAAACGTTGGGGTGACTAAAGAGCAATAAGAACTTGATTTATGTATGTGTATAAAAAACATATTCAACTAACACAGAATACTAAAATCGATGATCCGATTCAATTTACTCATTATTCTTATATTATATTGAATCGTTGTTTTATTTATTCTGAAACTACAGTCATTATATTTGTGGGCTACTTTTGAGTTGAAGGTGTTATGCAACAAATTTCTTTACTCTGTACTCTGTGAGTGCGGCATACGGAATCCGCATAGAAAGATAATAAAGACATTCGTCTAATTAGATTTACGATCATTCAAAATGAGATCTGAGCACACGCCTCATAGGAAATCGTTGACAATTTGAAATAACTTTGCTTGACTTTCTATGATTAGTCTATTGTTGCTGTTTCAGTTTTCTAACTGTGTGCCATTATTAGCTCTCAACAGCTAAAGCTAAGCCATTTATCTATCTATCCACTGCTCGGGAAGCAAAAAGAAAACCAACAAAAAAAGCAAGAGAAAAAATCAAACCGCTGGCCAAAACCAGCCAGAGTGGCCAAAGCACAAAACCGATATCTAAATAAGCCAAAGCCAAGCGCCAGCTCAAGCCGAGTGGCGACAAAATAAGCCACTTAACGGTATTCATTATACATGAGACTGCTGTAATTGCACACGCACACACACACACGCACACACGCACACAGAGGAGAAAAGAGTTGGAGTTAGGCAGACTTTTGCAGAGTCTTGCAGCTCATTAGATTACGAGCAAAATGAGCGGGGTAAATCAGCAGGCGGCAATGCATAAATACCAAATGTGAAAGATAGACATATTGAAAAGCAATAACAACAGCAGCAACAACAACAACAACAACAGCAGAAACAGCAACAGCAACAGAAACAGCAACAGCAACATCAACAACTACAAAAATACAGCAATTGTTTGGCAGCACTTTCTCCCATGGAGCGTGCAGCCAATGGTAAACAATTTGCCAAGATGCGCATCGAGATTGCATAATTTTTGGCCAGCAAGTGACTCAATGGAAGGTACCAGGCACAAATATTTGTGTGTAGGGTTATCTGGCGTGGGAAAGTGGTTGTTCACTGATTTCTAGGGACTTGCATATCAAGCATACAAATATTTAAGATTCGAACTATCTTCAGAAAGTTCAACAAATAAGAGTTTTGCAATAAACTCAAACTGAGTGTTCAGTAATAGATTGAAAAATTACTCTTCATATTTATGCAACACCAATGATGGATGAGGCTTACTGAAGATGAGACGAGGTATTCAGTGGAAATGATAACCAGTTTTTTTTTTTTTTGTTTTTTTTTCTGTCAAGTGTACTTGCTGACTTGGCTTACCTTGGCATTTGGCTGCTGTTGCAGCTGCAAGAATGTGGCTATTCCATTGCGCACACGATTCTTAACACCGCGAACGGTGCCCTTGGCTGAGCGTATTGTGGATTGTGTGGAGCTGGCGTTGCTCCTCAAGTCCCGATAGCCGGCGAACACGTCGTGTTGCTCGGCATCATCGTTAACCGTTAGATGCGGCTCGTCTCCATGCCGCGCAAAGCTCCGAAAGTTCTCGTGCTCGTTGATGTGAAAGCTGTAGTATTGATCGTCAGCATATTTGTAGTTGCTGCTGCGGCTGCTGCACCGATTGCTGTTGCCGTTGCCGTTGCCATTGCTGTTGCCGTTGCTTGTTTGTCTTGCGGTTACAACTGGTGACGGTGGCGGTGGCGACTCCTCACCGGTTTGCACGAAGTTGGCGCGCTGCACCGCCGCGCGCAGCTCTTCAATGCTTGCCTCATTGAGCGAGAGTCGTTGCGTTGCACGCAACTCGGCTTCGATTTCGCCATTGTCAGTCTCGAGCTCAGTCTCGACAGGCGGCTTGTCCTTGACCCCTGTGGCAGGGCTGGTGAACTGCACCACATACTCCGCACTCCGTCTGTCTCGTATGTCCCGCAGCAGGGAGTCCGGTAAAAGTGTGCCCAGCATGCGCAGCGACTTGTGGCGCTGCCTCAACTGACCGCTTGGCTTGGCCGCCGCTTGACGCACATACTCCGTGCTGCTACAGTTGAGGGAGTCGCTGTTGAGCGAGGATGGCTCACTCTCCTCGCTGTCGTCCGTTAGCGTGAGTGCTGCCTGCACCGGTCCGCTATTGCTCTCCAGATCGCTGCCATTGCCACTGTCTGCCGTCTCGCAGTGTGTGGCATATTTGTGATACTGTTGCATGTAGCAGTTGGCCGGACTGTCTGCCACAGCTGCAGCTGGCAAAGTGGGCGTGTTTGCCTTTTGCACAACCATGCTTAACACTTTTGTACGTTTTTTTTCTCGCTTTTGTTTTTCTTTTATTTTTGGCTTGAACACGCGCTTAAACACGCACTTACTGAGTTTTGAATAGACCTGAAGTCTTATTTAGTTGTGTTTGTCTTGCTGGCGTTCACTGACTTCTTGACGGCCGTTGCACCCGCTCTCGCATGTCTTTATGCTTCAGCTCTTGTCGTTAGACTGCGTTGCGCTTTTTTCAAGTGGCTCTAACAAAGCTGCGCCAACAACGATCCACGCCACAAAGCAGCAAAGCAGCCAAGCAGACAAGCGGGCAAGCAACTTAACCATCCAAGCAATCGTTTCGATCGACGCTCTCTTTTTGCATCTCCCTCTCTATGTCTTCCTCTCTCTCTCTCTCTGTCTCTCTCTCTCTCTCTCTCTCTCTCTCACTGTCTTTCTCTCACATTTCACCTAGTTATGCGGCGTTATTCAGCTCTTGGAGATTCAGCAGACGATGCTCACACAACTGCTCACTGCTTTCTTTTCGAGGCCGAGAGATTAAAAAGAGTTGTCGGAGAGAAAAATCGGTAAACTTCCATTAGGTGCGCGTTATTAAATTTTTGCAATTTTGAGACCGTTTCTGTTTTTCCATTTCCAAATTGTCGAACATTAGCAGTAACTTCTAATGACTGAGAAGACCAGTTGCTGAGATCGGCACCGAATCTTGCCAATGGCGCGCCAAGCGATTATGTCAAAACAAATCGACGATGGTTTTAAATGCGGCTTCGCCAAGAATAGCAAATGGCAAAAGCTGTTTTGCAGATGGCAAATAGTTTGTCGAACTCTGAAATCAAGAAAACTGCAAAAGATTGTAACTGTTCGTTGCGCCAATCAGTGCCTGATGGTTATTTTCAAGATTAGGAATTCGATAATCGTTGTGGAGAGTTAGCCAGAATTTGCTTTGGTCTAATACTCATTTTCAGCTAAATTGCACGCTTAAATAAATAACCAACTAAGTGATGAAATAGTGGAACATCAACATGAACTCGAACCGAAAATTGTGTTACCAAATTTAAGTTATAAAATATGATCTTAATGACATTGCTTTCGAAAAGTTGTTCGTTTTTGATAAAGTCTGCGCTTTTGTTTATTGTATTTTTGTATTGTTTTGTTTTGAATTGCAGTTGAGTGTGTATTGTATCAGACTTTAACACATTTATTCAGACACTTACGGTTCGAATTTTTCACACCTCTGCCTCTAGGCAAACTTATAGAGAATAGCCCGAAGTCAATAAAGTCATATTCTTGCACCACCCATCTGCGAGTTCAATATCTCGAGCACAAAGAAAATGTATTTTTTATTGTTTTTTTGGAGATATTTTGAACACATGCTGAGTTAATAAAAAATTGCCGATTAATCTTGCATGTTTTCGATGCAAACTAGTATCTCAATTTTGGTGGATACGTTGATGATTTCAGATTCAGGTGCTTTTTTTTTACTGCAAACCAGCTTTATCTGTTGGTGTCGCCAAATTAATCGTTGTCATGGACACCGAACAAAAACTCAAAAAATATAAAAAATGCTGACATTTAATAAACAACTTCCACATTCATGATTAAGTGGGCAGTCAATGTCTGTATTGAAAATCTTTTATTCATAAATATGATTATTATTGTACAATGTACTAACACAATTGACATGTGTACAATTCAGCTTGATGCATAATTGCAACGAGTTTAAGAGTTTCACCTTCTTGTGTATCTGGTCTATCGCCTTCAGCTTCCGTTATGCGTTGTCTCTTGTCTACACGTGTCTTGGAACGAAAGCCTAGCTATGAGTGGTTAAAGACAACACTGATAGTCGCCAGATTAAAGATTTATCTCAACTGGCTGACAAGCGTGCGAATATTTGGCATTTTCCGTGTCTGAATGAATTTGCAAATATGTTGGCAATTTATCGGCCGGAGATTGGACAATTTTCATTGCCCACTGCACGAAACTCATTCAGAGTTGGAAAAAAAATATGAAAGATACATCCAACATCAGCTTAAATTCAGATAGTTCTGCAACATCTGCTCAACATTATTGATACAATATGCAGCAGCATCGTCGGTCATCGAGGGGAACAGAAACAGAGACAGAAATTTAAGCTGTGGCTCGATGTGGGCGAGATAAGCAGTTCTCGAAATGCACAATTATCAGTTTGTAGAATAAAGCGGAAAAGATATTTATACTAAAGACAATATACTCACTTACTCATTGCGCGTATAAGTTGTAAACTTTGGAGCAAATTTTGCAACCGCACAATCGATGCAAATGCCAAGCTTTGCCACAAACTGCCAAGACTGAGTCTTATCTCGAATCTGTTAGCCAAAGCGTTGCCAAAATCAGTCAAAAATCACGTAGCAAGCAAGTCTCGCTAAGAAATTCTGGTGTCGGCAGCACGACATCAAATCACATCTAATTGACTAAATGAGAACTTCTATCAATTACAAGAATTTAGATGATTTCATGGAATTTAATAGGGCAAGCGATTTAACCTTTTCGTGTGGCCTCGAATCAAGTATTTGCACTTGAAGTAAACTATTTTTCATAGAAAAATCTTAGAGCGTGATTAAATACTTAAATGATTTTAAGTAGAACCAGATGAAAAAAATACAAAATAAAATAAATTAAATGCTAGAAATATGTAGCAAATACTGAATTGATTTAAGTTTTTTGAAATGCTTTTTGTACTATTTCTGATTAGTGATTTGATTTTTAATTTTAAAATAAAATATAAAAATATTAAGTACTTAATACAACAATATTTTTAAAATCTGTTTTACCAAGTTTCTTACTGATTTAGTTTTTAATTTTCAGCTGCTTACTATTTTTAATGGTGAAAGTTTTTGTTGTTTTCTTTATTTATTTGTGATGATTAGAGATTAGAAACTCGACAGTAACTGAGTTATATTGTATCACTGAAATCGCGCACCTCGGTCGGTTGGGTGGCAGGTGGAAGGTGGGAGGTGGTGGGTTGCATGAGAAGCCAGTGCTTGGTATCTTGGTACTTTAACGTCCAACATAGATAAATCGACCGAAATAGTACGTTTTTGTCACCGTGCACAATTGCAAATCGCTTAGTTATCTGTGCATCAGTGAGTAATTGTGTTGATGGTGTGTGAGATTATCACGTGTTGACAAAAACAGTTTTGTGAGATATTTGTGTGATATTTTGGTGTCTTTTATCAGTGCGATGGGGTCACGATTCAGTATAAAAGACCCAACTGCATATCAAGTTGCATTTAGTTTGCGAATTGCAACTGCAACAGCACTTGAACATGACTGGGTTTGCCATGCAAGTCGGTGGCCTCTTGGCCTTGCTAACAGCAACTGTTGTGATCGCTGTGGATCCCCAAGCGATGCTCTGCGCTGATGATAACACGCCAGCTTGTGCAAGGACTCGTGGCGAGTATGTAATATTCAAGAACGAGTGCGATTTGCGGAAGGCGCAACGTGAGAATCTAATGGGTAGCCCTTTGTGTAAGTCAAACCAAGAACAAATTGTGAGTTATCCTGATTCTGATAATATGCTCCTGCAGTCGATGTCGCCCTGCATTATTGTCTGCCCAACTGTGACTTTGTGTGCGATGCCAACTTTCAGCCGATTTGTGGCGTCAATGTCGATTCGGGTGAACGGAAGACGTTCAGGAATCGTTGCGAAATGATCCGCACCTCGTGCTTCAGCAGCTCCGAATGGCTGGTGTACAAGTGGGGCATGTGTCCGCGTGCCCAAAAACAGCTGCAGTCCAAACAGCCGACTTCGCATACTCTGCTCGTGGGTCAGCGCAAGCGTCGTCGCCTCATACCCTGCACGAGTTTGTATCGTCCTGTGTGCGCAACATATGCCGGCGTCAAGTCCACCTTCTCCAATGAGTGTCTGGTCAATGCTGAGAATATCCGAACTGGTAGAAGTAAGTGGATTCGACTTGTTGCTCAGCAAGCAGCTCATACTTAATAATTGGCAGATTGGCGCATCATTTCGGAGGGACTCTGCGGGGAGGACAGCATCAAAATGAAGCAAAATCGCAAATTAAAGCCGAAAATGAAGCCAAAGGTCGAAATGGAGCGCAGCAAGCGCAGCCATAAGTTGAATCAGCTGAATGACTTTGAGATATCGGAGGATGCGGTGCAAATCTTTGCGCCATCCACATTTCACACCCAATTTATCAGCAACACGGGCACCATTGAGAACAGCTACTCACTGCCCGCCCGCAAGCCCCAACTGACCAAGCCCCAGCGCCAGCCCCAATCGCAGCCCCAATCGCAGCCCCAATCCCAGCCCAAGGCCAGTGGTATCCATGGCAGCTATGGCTATGGCCGCCGCCGGTCACAAAAAGAGGTTAAGCACTGTGTGTTCAGTAATGAACCCGTCTGCGGCAGTTTCAATGGCGAGAGTCGCACTTTTGTCAATGTGTGCGCTCTGATGGAGTTCAGCCAAATGGTGGGCAATGGTAAGCACTGAGGCATTATGGCTTTTGCGATAGAGTCGCTGGACAGTAATTAAAATGAGATATCCTCTCTCTCTCTCTCTCTCTCTCTGCACAGCATGGACCATTCTGTATGAGGGCAGCTGTCGTCGCTGCGATAAGCCCTGCCCCACTGTATATAGTCCGATTTGTGCGAATCGCAATGGCATTAGCTATACAATCATCAATGAATGCTATTTGGACCGTGTGCGCTGCAAGGATCCCAATAGCGGTGAGTTCAATTACAATTTTCGAAATGAAATACGGCCTTTATAAGTTCTCTGCTTTTATGTTAGACTGGAAGATCTTGCACAAGGGTGATTGTGTCCCACACACCGATGAGGTTGCCCAGAGTTTTCCTGCGCCCAGTCCGAAGCCATCGTCGTATGCACTCCGATTACTCTATGTAGACAAACACAAAGGCAGCAACTCGCCAACAGATACAGCCCACTCTGCCACAACAACTACTGCAAAGCCAAGATTACCAAATAAAATGAGATCTCGCCTTGCAAGCCCATTGAAAAAAGCTCCGCATATGGCACGACCTATGCCCAAGAAATTCAAGCGACCAATGCCAACTCCCAAGGATCTAAGCAATCGCAAAATACGCAAAATTCAGCCAACCACATTCGAAGGACGCAACCCAAACGATCTGCGGATGCAACCCATTAAGGTGACAGCCACGTCCATGCTGGGATCTTTCCAGGAGAGCCAGCAGAGCCTGGCCTCTGCCAAGGCTCAGTTCAATAAGCGGCCAACCGTGAAGAAGGTACACAGTGACAAATATCCATATTGTTATTGGCCGCAAAATCCAACCACGCCCACGCATTATTTGGCCACAACCGTAGCGCCGATAACAACAACAACAACAACTACAACAAACCCAGCTCCAACGAATATTCTTCAGGGATTTTCTGAATCAGATGTCCTCAATTTCGAAATAAAATCAGCAAGTGATCTCTTTGGCGAAATCGAAGCCAATTCAGAAATACTGCTCGTGATGGACACAACCAGCGAAGCGGCAAAGGACACAGAAACAGAGGCAGCAACCACAATTGCGACAACCCCAATGGCAACCACAGCTGAGAAAACAGTGGAGGCATCAACAACAACAACAACAACAACCACCTCAACAACAACAATGCGTCCACCCACAACCACATCAACAACAACAATTCGAGCTCCCACAACAACAACAATAACAACCACAACACCAACACCAACAACAACAACTACAGATCCGATCACCTCTGAAGATACAACTTCTGAAAAGGAACTGGAAGAATCCACTTCCAATAATATTATTGATGTTAACACTATTGAAATGCTTGAACAAAGCTCAGCGGCAACAACCACATCTAGCGAAAGATCAACTACAACAAACTTAGACTACAACTCAGATGAGCCGTTGGCGAATCAAAGCGAGCAAACCTCAATTTATGGTCTCGATAAGAACTCGCTGATAATGCGATTACTGCGCGCCAGGAGTGGCAAAAATATGGTTTTGTAGTCTATTTCTTGTTTTTTATATATCGTAAGTTAGCAATTCATTTTGTATGGAGCCAGTGATATAAGTGCTCTGTATGCTGTGTAGAGTTATTAAATGCTGTAAGCTTATTGTAGCTTTCGAAATACATTTTGTACATCTTAGAAGATAATATAGTTTCTATCGGCCATCTATGACTCATTATTTATGATTGCTGTATGCACTTAGTTGAGCACTTTCAGCAACCTTGCTCCGCACTGCGGCTCACTTAACGATAGTGCAATAAAAGTTTTCCGCACTTAACGAAATTTCAGTTGCGGCACCTATGGCAGACTTTATGGTTGTTGTATAGACTAGGTCAGTATGGTCCACATTGAACGACTGGTGGGCGACTTAACTTGGCCTCCACACTGAACGAAATTTAGCTACGCCATCTATGGCACTTCAATATTAACTGTTGTACAGACTAACTCAGCAAATGCAACAACCACATTGAACGAAGTGTACCAAATTTTTCGACATTATTCTTAACGATGAGTACCTAATTGCTCCACACTGGTCGAAGTGCACCACATAAAGCGACGATTAAGCCTAAAATCAAACAATGCTGTTGAGAATAACAGCTTTCTTTTTAAAATAAATCAGATGTGAAAGACATCCTCATATTATTAAAAGATTAATATCTTTGCGATAGCTAAGTACAATTTGCATAATAAATTATTTGTTTGTTGATAATGATGATTGGTTACAACTTTTGATTGTTTATCAGATATGTAATACAAATGTGGCTTGTAGTTGATCTGAATGATCTGATTGCTATGTTCTTCAGATTAAATGAATGTAATAAATAATAGTGAAATAAAATAAAAGCCACCGATTCTTAATTAGATTTGTATAGACTACGTAATATATAGTTAATGAATCTACCCGATTTTAGGAGCAGACTAAAATTGCCAACAATTTATTGTATTATGTTAAGACTACTTGAATTAGGTTTGGTCTTTATATATAACGTTAAGATTACTATATCAAATTAACCTGTACACTTGCTTAAGGGCTCTGAAATCCTGGCTTATTTCGAACGCAAATAAATTGTTATCTTACGGCATCTAAGCAAATACTCATTATAAATACGATTGAATGACCTCTAAGCAAATACTCATTATAAATCCGATTGAATTGCCTCATTAAAATCGTCAGGATTAAGCGATGAATCTTGGCTGCCCCATAAAAAGCATTTTCCTACTTTATTTGATTGCAAGCGCCTTGAGAGTGAAACTTTTGATTTGTTTGGGTCTTTAGATGAACCCATAATAATACCCCTAATGGAGTATGGAAGCATGCGTTCGACTTAGCCATAATGTTATCAATAAAAGGAAAAAAAAAGTTAATTGATCGTGAATTTGCACTTTGCTGACTGATTTTAATTGCTGGTGAAATTAAAGGCATATTAGCAAGCAAAACAAATTTGAAATGCTGGTCAAAGGCGATAATATTATTTTCATTCGCAAAAACTCTCGTTGACGGAAACTGTAATTGTCATCCCCCCAAATACCCCCTCCACCCTCCTACAACTCAATATATTAAAGTGGCTATCCGGTTGCTGGTTTGGCTCGCTGCAAGCCAAAGTCCCCCTCTCGATATTAATTTGTTTAATTATTCAGTCGGGTCGACATGGCATCTGTGGCTCGTAAAAGTAGTTTCTGGGCGGTCAGAGTTGTCCTCTCCTGCTGCCTGCTGACTGCAAATGCTCGCAAGCTTGCGTGTGGCATTGTAATTTGTACTTTGTTATGCCAGCAAGCCAGCTACCCAGCCAGCCAGCCAGCCAGTCAGCTAGTCAGCCAGATAGCCAGCATAGCCGATGCTCTGATTTGGAGCCAATCATTGTTTTGACCAAGCTGCAGACAACTAAAAATAGTGTTTAGGCAATTGTTGCTAAACTTTCTTTCTTTGCTTCTCTGCTGGGCAGAGCCTTCGGATTCTGGCGAGTGGCGTCAATCAGTGTATCGATTACCTCATGTCCAATAAAGACACTGACTAATTAATTAGCTGGCTGCGAACGCGACTTGTTATCCATTAGAAACTAGAGGCCAAACCACAAGGTATGCATAGCATAAAAAAATAAATAATAAAAAATAACAACCAATTGTTACTTTCACTGGTCAATAATCCAACAGTGTAACATTTGCACAATTGCACCAGCACCAGCACCAGCACCAACACCAGCAACAGAAACAACAACAACTTTCGCGTGGCATGCGCAAGCAGAAGCAGCTATAATTAAGGCATTCAAGACTCAGGCACACACACAGGAGCTTGTTCAGAAATTGCCGCAATTCGAAGCACGCTTTTCGCAAAAATATGAAAATAGCACGCTCAAAACTGAAACTTAAGCTGCAGCTCAGCTGAGCTGATCTGAGCCGAGCTGGAGCTGAGCAGAAGCCGCACCGCATATTGCAGGAGGTTGCATTGTGATCCAGCAAATAAGCTAATCTCACTTAACAGCATTCGCACTAGTTCTGATTGCTATCGTTTACAAAAGACGCGACCACAACTGGTTAATTTTGTTGGCGCTTAGGCGGTTGGCTTACGGGATTCACTTTCGTTTGTGATCGCCTTCGAGTTTTGTGGCTTTTGCTTTCAGTCACACGCGGTTGCAAGGCGCTCGATCGGTTCATAATTCCGAGCGGGGAGTGTGTTCCATTTGCAACGTTCAATGATCGCCCCGCCAGCAAAAAATAAAAACCCGCTTCGACTCTCTGGCAACTCTCAATTTGACCCAGAAAGCGACGCATTGACTTTGACTTTGATTTTGACTTCGTCTCTTCATTCACAATTTCGATGCATGCCGCATGCCGCATGCAGTATGAGAATTAGATGTGGATGTGGATGTTGGTCTGGCTCGTTAGCCGGCGCATGCCGCATGCAGCAGCTGCTGCTGCTGCTGCTTGCTGTATGATAAAAGGAGTATGCGGTCGCCTTCAGTTTCCATTTGTGTTTCACTCGGCCAGCTGAGCAGTGGTCTTCAGCTCTCGGGAAAAGTGTCGCATCGCAATAAGATCAACAACTGACCACAGCAATGTCACTCTGGCGTTGGAGTATAGCTGCATATGTGGCATTGGTGTTGCTGCTGCTACTCCACTGTAGCAATGCACTGGATTCGAATTCATCCTCATCGTCAGCACCACAAGTGAATGTGGCATCGGCTCGATCCAAAGGTGGCTCTTTGGTCTCCAACAGCGATGTTTATATAGCGCGCAATCAGCGCGAGTGCTTTGAGACACGTAATCTGGTCTCCTGCATCAAGTATAAGGCCTCCAGGCTCCTCTGGAAGCTGGCCACCAATGGCATGGGATTCTTTCCCAATGAATACGAACGGACGCTGGGCGACAAGACGCCACGTTGGTTGAGTTTAGTGCATCTGGGTGAACCGGCCGACGACATTGTGGTATTCAACGATGCCAAGAGCATGTCAGGTGAGTCTCATGGTACTTGGACACTGATCGAAGAAGCTCGTCGAGTCAATGATTTTTTGATTGCTGTTGTTCAAATGGGAAAGTAGCAATTAACAGCTGCACTTGATGCATACAACTTGAGCCCGATCTCAAGCTCAAGCTCGAGCGCGATAGATTAATTGCTGGACGTGGATTCGTTTTCACCATCAATTACACTTGCAAATATTTAATAGAAGGCAACCCAAAAACCCATATAGTTTGCTATATAAACACCTGCGGATGTTTATCGCGTATCTAATTAATTGGATTCAACGGAACTGTTTATTTGGATATTACCTTTTTATTTGGCATAAAAAACAAACAACTCTCATAGTGATTTACATGTTCTCTTCGTTGCACAAATTATAAATATACATTTCATTGCTTGTTGATTGCAGGAGACAGTGAACTGATTAACATTTTCAAGTTTCTGCAACGAGCTGTCGAAACATTTGGACGCAATCATGGCCTCCAGCTGGCACTGCCCAAGGAAACGGGAGCCCGAATTATGGATGAGGCGGGTAAGTGCGATATATTAGAGACAACGAGATTGAGAAATAAGTTTTGAAAAAAGGTAGTAATCAGACGAAAGGTTACTCCTCCGACTCCTAACAATCTGACGAACATCGTTAAACAGAAAATATAGTTATGCCTCAGAGAAGAGGAAACATCAAAATCTATGATTGTATATTAAGGCAGGCTATAGGTTATCAGCTAATCGGACACTTTCGATCAAAGCACTTCTACTTTTTGATTATATTTGAATTCTTGTTGATTACAGAGCCCCGTTTAAAGAAGAAGAGAAAGTGGCTTGTCTTATTACCGCTGATAATATTGATGAAAATAGCGCACCTAAAAATGACTCTGGTCACACTGCTGCTCGGGGTACTGGGCATGAATGTGCTGCTGGTGGGCGGCACTGCCTGGCTGATACACTATCTGAAATACAAGACGATGTGCAAGATTCATCCGCACTTGGTACAGTCGCATTCGCATGTCTACGACTCCGATCCGGCGGACTATTCCCAGTTCCTGGGCAGCAGCAGCTGGGCAGGAGGTGGCGGCGGTTACTCGCCATCCAGTGTCCACGAGGTGAACGCCAATGGATACAGTAAGGATTGGGCGACGAGTAAGGCATATCATGGCTACAATCATTTGGACACAATTAGTAAGCGAATACAGTGATGCTTGCCGGAGAATGAATCGTGCCAGGTCCTAGTGAAATTATTATCAACGTTGATTTTCTTTTTGTTCTTATTTATATATACGTTTTTTTAAGATTGTAATTTACATAGGTATTCAATAAAATGAAATGTTCGCTACAGTTGCAAAATGATTATACCAACAGTCACTCAAGTGTGGTGCGAGGGGAGTGCGTCATCGGCGCTCTTTGTATTTGTTTACTTGAACCTTATCAGTGGCATGCTATTGTTTACTCAACAATTTCGAGAAGCATAAAAAAAAGTAGCCCACAAAGACAAGTCTCTAATTGTTTGGCCAGCGAACTACGCACAAAATACGCCCAATCCCAAAATCAATATACATATGTATTTATGTTTATATCATTTGTATATTGTATACATATGAAATTCTAGCTAACTCTGGCAAACTAGCTGGCAAACTGACTGCCTCAACGCTATCTTTCCATCTACATATGTAAATGATTTAGTTGCGCAAATATGATTTAGAAGGTGCTGCCAATATTGATTGAGCCTCCGCACTATCTATCGAACTGGTAATGTTTGCATCCATTTATGGCCTGCCATCAAATGCGGCACAGTTAAGCGTCTGGCACACATGTGATAATCGTCCATTGGAGGTAGTCTACGTGTCAAACGTGTTTAATGATCCAGAGCAGCCGTTACATTTATGTCCCCAAATGTTACCAAGGCGGGCCAAGAAAATTGTGCACGCATGCTAAAATCTATACATATTACACATAGATTCTCGATAAGTTGTTGTACACAACGAACTAATGAAGATGACCAATGTCGATGTCTCAATGCCAAGGGTATTTCGAGCTTAAGACATTGGCATGAATATCATATAACTTTACAATATAGAAGGGGCATTTAGCTCCTGCTAGTTTTTATCTAAATTGTGCAATTGAGTAAGCAGTTTAACAGCGTCATGCTAGTTACGGCACGCAGTTGGCCAGGCTTTGTAACTGAAAGCCAAATGCATTTAATATATTAATTGTACTGATAAAAAGCTGATAGCTCTGCTTGTCTAAGATTCAACTTTAAACTTATATGGCAGGCAATAGAGATGCTTGATTAAAATAATCGCGGTACACAGTCGCTGTTCCCACAACTGATAAGATTGGCACACTTATATTAAGTAGACAATATCCCTGAACTTGTCGCAGTCTGAAAGCGTCAGCTGAATCTGTCTGTATACTATATTTTTCAAAATGGGAGTATCTGACTTGCCCGCTGGGCTAACTAAGGATTATATTCAGTCAATGCTTCGCGTTTTTCACAAGGATACTCAGCTGAATGTGACCAAGTTGTGGGCAAAGGCCGCAACGGCAAAGGGTGAGAATTATGTGGGTGTTGTGACTCGCATTCACGTGGAGTTCGAGGAAACAGGCAGTCGTGGTGCAGTGGTGCAGCGCACGTATCTGCTGAAGGAAGGTTGTCCAGCAGATGCTCCGCAGGCAAGCGTGTTTGCCGAGTACGGTGTCTACGCCCGTGAGATGGATATGTATGAGTTCGTATTGCCAAAAATGACGCAGCTGCTCAGAGAGATGGGTGTCAAGGATAAGTTGCATGCGGATGCTATTTGCGTCGATCGGCAGTATGGCATTATGCTGCTCGAGGACCTATCTCTGCTTGAGTACAAAAATGCTGATCGTGTCAAGCAGCTGGATATGGAACACACTCTGGTTACTCTGGAAATGCTTGCCAAGTTCCATGCAACCGCTTTGATTCTCGAGCAACGGCATCCGGAGCTGCTTGCCAATGGGTTTGATAAATGTTTCTTTGCACGTGATTCGAAGGGTTATGCCCTGATTTTCACGAGTCTCTTTCGGGGGCTGATCCGTTATGTAAAAACACAGCCCAAACTCAATGCTCTCTACCACGACAAGTTGGAGATAGTTTTGGAAAATCTAATGGAGTATGGTGCACGATCCTTCGATGTGAATGATGACGATTTTCGAACACTAATCCACGGTGACTGCTGGACTTCGAACATCATGTTTCAGTACGATGCGAGGGGCAAGCCAATGAAAGTGGTGCCGATAGACTTTCAGTTCAGCACTCGCACCTCGCCCCTTATCGATTTGCATTACTTCTTTAGCAGTTCGCTGCAGGACGATGTCCTTGCCAAGGAAACAAAATTAGTGCAACATTATTATTATGCCCTGAAACGCAACTTGAGTCGGTTCCAGTATAAGGCGAAGCTGCCCAGTCTTCTCGAGTTTCAAATCCAATATGAGCGACGTCGATTTTTAAGTAAGTTCTAATCATAACTGGCTAATCAATTGTTTACTAAAGCATTTATATTTTATCACAGGCGTTGCCATAGCTCTAGTTTTCCAGCCACTTATGATATACTCGGGCAACGGTGTGCCCGACTTTTGTAAGTTGTATCAGGATACGCCAGAGGCACTGAGTTTTCAGGATTCGATATACGAGTGTGACAGAGCGCAGAGCATTGTGGAGCAAATGCTATCCAAATTCGATGCCAAGGGATTGCTAGACGAGCAGTAAAGTTCAAAAGTTAATATTTGAAACGTTTTCATTACTCTCTGTTTATTAAATACTATTGTTAATAAATAAGCTTCAAGAAACTTAAGCGAACTAAACGAATCTAATACTTAAATCATTCTAATATCAAACAAGAAGTGTGCTGACGAGTTTGTATAAAATTTTAAATCAAAATAATTTATTGAAATCTAATTCATAGTTACAAAATTGATATTAGTGTTTAACATCAATTTTCAATTTTCATTAATGTTTTACTAATATTTGTGGTTAATATATTTAAATAAGTATTTAAAAGTTTTATATTTAGTTTTATTTTCAAATCAAGCCAATTTATTACTAATATTCCTGATTACAGTATTTGTATTAGTAGTTAATATTTCCTAATTTAATTTTAAGTTCACTTGTAAATTGTATTTATTTTCACTGGTTTACTGTCGCAATTGACGCACTGTGTCAACAAAATTTCTGAAAGCTTATTATTTGGGGTAGCTTTAACCTATAGCAGGGGACTGATAAGAAAGCTTCGCACAGCTGTTGGCCCAAAACAAAGTCGAAAAGCATTCGGAGATGGTTTTGGTCGGTGTGCGCGGTCCGTTCAGTTGCAACTTCGGGCTCACGCAGCGTATACGCAACGAGGAGCTGGCTTGCGTACTCTGGGGCAGGCCACACGGCGGCTATCAGTATAAAAGTTAGAGCTGTTCGCTAAAACCCAACAGATGGTCGCCGGCTGTTCACGTGCCGAGTTATCGGGATCGCCAAATCTCAAATGAAGCGCTAACCACATATTGAACTTGAAAAAAAAAACAATTTTTTAAAATCGCGCAAATACAAAAATAATTTATATAAATAAAAATATAAAATATGTTCAAAATCTGGAAATATATTCATAAAAATTCTTGTGCGGCTCAGTAAAAAAACACATTGTGAAAATCAAAAGGTAACAATCCGAAATGTGTGCGGAAAATGTGTTGTGTTTGTTTTTGTATACGCCGCAATTAAAATTTCGAAGGTGAAAGATATTCAGAGAAGGCCCCAAGTGGTACGCGGATATTTGCCAATAACATGCCGGACGCCGGACTCTTCCAGTTGTGAATTCCGTTTGTGTATTCGAATTTGTATTCGTATTCGTTCTGACCAAGTGCGAAAGAAAATGTAATCAAATTGTGAATCTGACTTAATGCGAAGCGACGTGTGCGCCAGCCAGAAACCTCATCATTACCTTGGTAACTATATATTTACTACGCGTAAATAGTGGGAAGTGCACAGATATAAAAAGTAAATCTCCAAAGGAAGTTGTATCTCAAGCGGAATAAGACCGAGTGCCAAAATTACACACTGAGTGCTTCAAGAAAACTAAAGTATGTTTGCTTGGTTTTAAAGAGGAAATTTGGTCAAATGCTGAAAACAGTTCTCACTGGTGAACAAAAGTACCAAAAATACAAAACAAATAATTCAATAAAGTTCACAATTAATGTGTGTTTGGACAGTTGTATTAAACAAAGAATATTTATGCAATCGTTCACAGAATCAAAAAATCAATCAAAAAAAGTTATTTGGTGTGTTTTAAATTTTGCAAATCAGTTCGAAAGTGGATCAAAATTGATTCGAAAGTGGTTCATTAGTGGAACTTAATTGTGTGCTTGAGATTTTCAAGTGTGGTCCGATATTCAACTAGCGAAAACTAATTTGACTGAATTTTTAATCTTTAAATTTGATCGAAGTTGAAAGTAGCTTCTAATTCAATAGGCATCTGAATTATCTACTTTCAAAGTCTGATTCCACAGAATTAATAAAATTAATAATTAAACAGTTTTGAAAAAGTTGCGTTGTGCCATCAATAAACTATAACCATTATAGCTGTGTAAGTCTAAAGAAAACCTGAAAGCGAAATAGATTCGCAGCTATTGTTCCTCCTAGTTCTTTTAACAGAAAAGCAGCAGTAAATATGAATTGAGATCTATTGATTTTAAAAGTACTCTTTGAATACGAATACGCTCAGCTGCCTTTGATGCAAAAGAATTTATATTGAACGAAGTTGAAGTGTTTCAAAGAGTTATTCTATTGCATTTGGCAAACACTATGATACCCTACTAAGATATTATATAAGCATCGTGAATAAAGTGGATAACTTAAATTTGTATCTCTTAAATGAAAATTGAAATAAAAAATGGCGTATTTAAATTAAATGAAGTAAATAGAGCAAAAATGTCGAGTTTTGTTGAATTTAAATTAGTTTTGCTGCCATGTGACTTCTATCAACAAAGTCTCGAATTAAAAATCACCTATTTCCGAATGCATGAATGAATTCCGGAGTTTCCTTGACAATTTATTAAACATGAACAGTGTTTGAGATTTTATATTTGTATTATGCGAAATCCATATCTCAAAGGTTTTTCTAAACCATTCTCATTGCCTCGTACGGTTTTATTTGCCAAAGAAGAAATGAATGGATATATTTGCAATTGCTGGAAATGACTTTCAGACGCGACACAAGTGCCATTTTGTGTATTGCACTTGAAGTGAAATATAGCGCGACCAGCATTAAAGGAAAATACCAAACAAGAAAGGCTACGCCAAGAACAATAGAAGTAACAAGGATATTCCCATGCGTGTATTTCATGCGGCAAGCCGGCAACAAACAGACAGCTGTACCAGAAGCAGATACAGATAGTTAAATTTACGGACAAATAAAGAAGACAATAGGAAGCCGTAATAAAAGCTGGGAAGAAAGGACCTCACGTACATGGTGGATTGATATGGTAAGTCTAATTGCAAAATAAACAAGAAGCCATTAAAAAGTAGATTTAATCTCGAAATGAAATTGCGCTCGGCTTTCGAATTTGTTTTTAAACAAAAGTTTCCATTTGCTTTCTAATTTATTTATTTAGGTGAGTCGCCATTCAAGGTAGGGCATCTCAACAGACAGTGCCATATGGCATTTAACATTTGTAGAGCATCCTATTTCAAATTTGCTGAGATTGACAGAAACAGCAGCATGGAAACACTCAAGCAACTTCTGCTGGCAGTTCAATTACTTCCCTCTCAGTAGTTACGTTAAAATTAAAAAAAAACTAAAACGAAAGGAAAACAAAAATCAAAATAAAATGGATTCTATGCACCATTTGTCAGTTGATAAACAATAATTGAGGCTTGTGCAATCAATCGAAATATTTTAAACACACTTTAACAAAAGGCAACCCTTTTTTGTGTTCTTTCTGTTTTTATCACAAATAATGGAATCAGCAATCTGTGACCAAAATCCAATTTGCCAATTCCCATCATTTAAGCAGCCTGTGGCTCAAAATCCAATTAATTCCATGACAAAAAAAGATTCATTTTGTGACTGAGGCGAATGTTTTACAACTCAGCTAAAGCCTTTATCATTAATAAGGCAAATATATTTTTGATACTCCGGCAACATGAATAAATGTGTATAAAATCCATTAAATATTGCAACATTTTTCATATGCTTAGACTTTTAAGCCCAGCAGTTTCTTTATGTCATTTCAATAGAAGTAGGATGGAGATGAATTGTAGAATGGGTCTGTAGCACCAGCAAAAGTACGAAAATAACTCAAATAAGTCACCAAAGTAGCTCAGCCGAAAATGGGTCAGCTGAAAAGAGAAATGGGTTAAAGCTATTTAGAGGAGATTTTCTTGTGTTTTTTTTTAATTTATTGTGGTGCCATTTAAATTACTGATCACGCGAGTAACTGTGAAAATTGTGTTTGGTGTTTGGTTTAAATGCAAATAAACCGACCCACGCTTTGAGAGGGGAAGCATTGACAGTTTGAAAATTATTCAAATTCATGACAAGTTGTACGAACTTGAGGCTATTTTACATAATTTTCTTGACGTCAACTTTATAAAAAAGTCATTTTGCAAACAGCTAGGATAAGATGGATAAAAAATACACCACGCTAAGATAAATTTAACCAACATGATAAATTTAGATACATTTTACGAAATTACTCAAAGTATTTCCAAGAACATGAAATATCAATTTGTACAGGCACCTACAGGCTATGATTAGTTCTAAGAACCACAATTGGTCAAAACTTTTATTCATAAACTTTGTTTTTTCAATTGCCATTCAAATGTTATTTAACTACATATATATATTTGCTATATGTTCAGATTTGCGTGTCTATCTAAACAATAAATCTTAAACTATGGAAAAACTTTGTTGCCAAGCGAAAGTTTTGTCAACTGGTATTTGTAAACTTAAAATTAAAGTTTTGCGTGCAACTTTTGTGTGCATTTTGTACGACGTCGCATCGCAGCACTGGGACTATTTAAAATCAATATATAAGTTGTGCTGCTCTTCAAATGAGCAGCGATTACACTCTGAGCCCCATTCACTCCATTGGGACGTTTCTCACTCAATGCCTTCAGCAGAGTCAGCTGCTGTTGAACATCTAACATCTTGATTTATAGGCAACACATTAATCGCAGCAAGAGCCGATTGTGCAGCATACTTTGGGGATGCTGAAAAATAATGTGATTCCTGTACGCACCTCCAACTTACTCTTTTCTCTCTTTATTGACATTGATAAGTAAGCTAACATCTGCTGCATAAAATTACACAATTATTTTAAGCAATTCTCCTCATCTATAACACGACTACAATTCGAACTGTCTTTGCTGGGACTTGCGGCCTCATCTACGTATACGCAATATGCAAAATAAAAAACTCTGCTTCGTCTTTTCATCCAACATGGCAACGCTTCGGAAAACTCTCAGACTTCAGATGTTTACATTATGTTAAAATTCTGAATATTGATGTAAACATCGACTAAGAGTCCAGAGTTAATTTTAACATTTACACATTGCGCTCATTCAATAATCATTGTCAATATAAGCTTATATAAATATTCCAAATATATTTCACATTTGCTCATTTTAATTATCGTCATGCCGAGCATATTTCAATATGTCATTTGATATTTAATACCTTAAACAGAAATTGTACAGTAAACACAGCAAATAAACAACATGATAAAATAGTCAGCGAGGGTATTAAAACTTCCTTTGCTCTCCATTAATTTCTTTTACGTTTTATGCATAAATTATTGGCAGATTATAAAACATTGCTGGAGGAGGAAAGAAAAAAAATATTTGTGTCTTTGCTTCTCCGTTTCCTAAGTGACAAAGTTTTTTAATTAAAAATATGTTTGCTGTTAAGTAAGTTTGTCATATTAATAGATGTAGTTTTTTTTATAGATTGCCAGGATGGCCAGATCGTCTAATAAGTTTTATGTAACCAGCAGATGAAAAGTAAAGTGAAAATCAGAGAGCAAAGCAAAGTGAAAAGGACAAAGCGTATTTTTGTATATTTTTTTAAAAATAATCCTTTAACTTAACACACTTTTGGGAAGACAAAGTTTCATAGTGCTTTTCAGCTGTTGGCCCACTGAAGCTTATGGCATTAAAACTTGAAATCATGTCAAATAGCAATAGACAGTAAAAGTTTTTGGTACGAGCCAAGCGACTGGTACAGCATTTTTTTTTTTTTTTGCAATAGTTATGCCTGCTTATTTTATGTTATTTTTTGTGAAATTCTTAGGTCCTGGTTAAGCAGGTGGCGTGTGCACTTAAATCACGCATGTGGAAATCTATGCGAAACACACACGCAATGGCCATGAATCTGTTTTCTTTTTTCTGGTTAAGCCTTTCCGGTTTAGCTTTATTGCAGTGGCGGAGATATTTGGGACCAACAGATACATATTTAGTAGTGAACAGCTTCTTTCCGTTTTACTTTCCAGATAACTTATGACTACCGCTTAACAATTTTTGGTCTGATAGGGTTTTTATTTGGGTTCCTCAAATCCCTGTAATAAACATTCAACCATTTCACATTTTAACCCCTACAGATTTATTGTATCCTCCAGTTAATTTTTCAATTTAAATATTAAATTAATTTAGCAGGCTTTATATCAAATAATTTGTATCTTTTACTTTTTTCAATTGTGCTTAGACCACTTTAAATAAAAATAACAATAAATAAATGTAAGAATGAATATTTTGATTTTCTCGACAGATAATCGCCATGAATCGCACTGAATTTGGATCCCAATTGCCCAATTTCGACAGCTCAGTGGAGATATTCAAAGCGATTGCAAGGAATAGTAATTTTGATTTGATTGGCGAGCGACGGCATCTGGTTAATTATTCGCAATTAAATGCACTGAGTGATGTAAATGCCAACAACACTAATAAGAGCAACTACAACATCAGTCACAGCAGCAACAATATGACAATACAGTTGTTAAATAGCACACATATTAATGTAAGCAACATCATCGTTTCCTCCGATTTGGACCCGGTGCTAATGGACCAGTATCAGCACAATCGTGCTATAGAGAGCCCCTGGTATCACTTGCTAATCGCAATGTACAGCATACTAATTGTATTCGGAGCAATGGGCAATATAATGGTGGTCATCGCTGTTTTGCGTAAGCCACTGATGCGCACGGCACGCAACCTCTTCATCCTTAATTTGGCCATATCGGGTGAGTTGTACGGTTGGTTGGGTTCACTAACGTTGATTTCACGATAATGGCGGCCATTTGCAGACCTGCTCTTGTGCCTTGTGACGATGCCGTTAACTCTTATGGAAATTCTTTCCAAATTCTGGCCGTACGGCTCTTGTGCCAGCCTGTGCAAAATGATTGCCACGTTGCAGGCGCTCAGCATTTTTGTGTCGACGATATCCATAACAGCCATCGCCTTCGACAGATATCAGGTTAGTACTAATTCACATTTAACCAATAAAAAACTCTAATTGTTATGAGAAAATCGATTGTGGAACTTTTTAGTATTTGCAATGAAAATTAAGTAGCATAAAATAAAATGACTCGACAAAATGTTGTGAAAGGTTTAATGTAACATGAATTGTTGGTTTCTGTTTGGTAAATAACAAGAAGGACGTAAAATTTCATAATTCGATTACTTTTCACAGATTAGATAATAAACTTGAATTTGATTGGAATTTCTTAGTAACATTAAAGAGATTTGAAATAAGCCAATTTCTACGATGGTCGTCACATAATAGAAATGTGATTTAAATAAGTGTGACAAATATATCGAAAAATAAGCAAGACAGAAACCAAATGTAAAACTTGAGTTTTGGGTTGCTAAGATCATTCATAAATCATTGCTATAAATGAAACCCATTTAAATTTCATAGTTATAGATTTCACGAGATTGTTATTGCTTAGTAACTAGCTTATTGAAAAATACGATCTATACTAAGTATATTTAAGACCCAAATAGTGATAGGTTGCTATAAATATATAAACAAATGTTTGCTCTTTAATGCATTCCAATTTCAAATCTCTTGATTTCTTTGAGATTGGCTTGGCTTAGAAACTTGATTTCAGGAAATGAGTGTGTTTGTAGAGCTGTTACAGCTTTTGTATTTGTATACGTACGTTAAAAAGAGTACTAAAATTTTATTTTATTACGCAAATTGCCTATTCATCCCCAAAACAGGTTATTGTTTATCCCACGCGGGACAGTCTGCAATTTGTTGGAGCCGTCACAATATTGGCATTCATTTGGATACTTGCCCTGATACTGGCTTCTCCACTGTTTATCTACAAGCAGTTGATCAACATGGATATGCCGGCAGTGTTGCAAGATATTGGCGTACCAAATCGGATATCATATTGTATTGAAGACTGGCCGCTGAGCGATGGCCGTTTCTATTACTCGATCTTTTCGCTGTGCGTGCAGTATCTGGTGCCCATATTGATCGTATCGGTGGCCTACTTTGGCATCTACAACAAGCTGAAGAGCCGCATCACTGTCGTCACCGGGCAGAGCTCGTCGCAGCGGAAAGTGGAGCGGGGCAGACGGATGAAGCGAACGAATCGGTTGCTCATAAGCATTGCAATCATCTTTGGGGTGTCGTGGCTGCCACTCAACTTTTTCAATCTGTACGCCGATCTGCAACATCCGTCGGCGGTGACGCAGAGAATGCTTGTGGCATATGCCATTTGCCACATGATTGGCATGAGTTCGGCCTGCTCGAATCCGCTGCTCTATGGATGGCTCAATGATAACTTCCGTAAAGAATTTCAAGAACTCTTGTGTCGTTGCACTGATTCCACTAATGTTGCTCTCCATGGTCACACGACAGGCAGCAACGTCCAAGCAGCGGCATCGCGTCATCGACAGCGCAAACACGACGCACATCTGTCCAAGGGTGAGCTACAGCTCTTGGGCAATCCGAGCTGTGCTACTGATGGTGATTGCATCGGTGGTGTTAGCATTGCGGCCACTGAGTTTAATACGCGACACACGGTAAATGGAACCCGCAGCTGCATTACGGAATCGGTGGCACTCACCGAGAATCCAATGCCCACAGAGATGACCACGCTGGTGCCGCGGTAAAGCTAAACACTACTCACTACAATCTCTGTCCGTAAAACCCCAATCTGTGTCCCTGTCTCAATGTTGTCGTACGTATCTGTACTATCTGCTATAAGCACATCTCTCCACGCAGTTTGCGACACTTTGCAGCCTCTGGGGACTTATATCGATTTGCATGCATCACAAGGCGGCGAGGCTACGAAACTCGAATAAATTGCATGCATTTTATTTTCATTTGTTAAGTCCAAAATAAACAAAAAAGAGTGTATTTGGTGTGTTGTTTTTCGTTTCCAATTCGATGTAGAATTTACTTAGTATATGGCATAAAAAACAACAACAAAACAGTATTTCAATATTTATGCACATTTTACAGTTTGCAACAATACTAAAAATGGCAATTTGCAAGCTCAATGAAACCTACTCTCCCCATAGGCCCATCTGTACTTGAACTTTATGGAAGACAAAGGAGCGGCTGTCGCAGCGAAAGCATTGAATTTAATTTTAAAATTATATTTTTATCTAAGACGTTTACCAATATTGAGTATAAATTACACTGTTGACTGATTAAAAGCAAAGCTGATTTATATTTAAGTCTAGACAGTTTAATTAAGTGTAATCGCAGGATGACAGGTCACTTGACGTATCTGAAGATACAGTATCTATTATAATTATAAGTATCAGTCATTAATCATACATATAGGTTAACTTTCATCAAGTACTGTGATTTAATTGAATGAGCCCTTCAATTAAATTTCGGGTAATTGATTAACACACAATTCTTTCGTTACAAATAAATATTACTATGTATGTAAATATGTTTAAGTAGATGTCGCACTTTGTTCCTATTTGCGCTCCTTAACTTCAACGATTGTACTTCTTTGCGTATTATTTCCATTAATATGAGATACATAAATACATACATTATTAATTCATGTCCCTTAAGGCAGCATTAAACTGCTCTTCTGTAAGCTGTATAATAATAAATTCCGATTATTTGAGCATGCTGCAAAGCAACTCAAATACGAATAAATAACATATGAATAAATGTTTAAATAAATATTTGAAATGTTTTACTTGACTGCAACTACAAAGTCGGGTAAGTAGATGAATACTGCTCAAGCTGTGTTAGCTGTGCTGGCCAAAATTACTGGAACATGTCTGTAAGTTATGGCAAGAGACTTTGGTGTATATTGAATATATTTTAAAAAACTTAGTACGATACATTTTCTGTAAGGCTTTAAGGTGTTTTGAAATTGTCTGTTTGGAATGTAATCTTCGACCTTGGCTTGATAATGACAATGCTTGAGTACGAAATTACCATTTCATTACCAAGTCTACTCGTCTCTAGCATTTATATAAATATATAGTCATTTAATATGCACAACGTTCAGCTGGTAACCTCGAGGCACACACCTGCTGCACCTTTGGCAGTCATTGCTGCCCTTTAAAGATGTCGTTGTTGCTTTGGCAAAAACTTGACTTACACACTGTCAGCCGTTTGGGAAAGCATAACGTTAAGAGCAATGGGCCATTAAATGGCGGAAATGTGAGTCCACTGTGATAAGTATAAACGCGAATAAGGGCTCCTACGTATGTATACTTATGTGACAGCATCCTATAAGGAAATGCCACATGGGTAGCAACTGGTTTTATGTTGCCACCGGCACTTCCGCAATTCTATATTAAGGCCACGCGGTAAATTGTGGAAGTGTGTGTGAGTGTGAGTGTGACAGTTTCTTAATAAAGTTATCGATAAGCCCACGACGAACTAGAGACGAACTCATCAATCACAGTCACTTGAGCTTAACCATCTCGCTAAGCTGTCTTTGAATTTAAGTTCCAAATTGACCAGCCTATGCGGTTGACTATTTTGGTTGTCTCGAGCGTTTAAATTCTAATATTGTGACAATTGCGTTAATTTTAATATCTTTATATTGGTGATGCAAAGCCGCTTACTGCCCAGGGCGAAAGGTCATCATCATCATTATCGTCATCACATCTTTGTCACTTGGACCTAAATACCCGTGCGACTTTAACGTGACCAACGACACGCACCAACGACTCTAATAAAAAGGTGAGAGCTTCCCACACCATCACCTAAAATTTAATTACAAATTTCTACCCTAAGTAAAAATTGCATGTGTAGGGTATTTTAATTAACGCACATGCCGTATTCTCTGTGTATCTGTTTGTGTTTTCTTTGTGAAAGTGTTTGTTTATTTGAGTTTGTTCGCTTTTCGGATGCCCAGGCGTGGTCATCATGCCTACTGTGATGTCATTAACGAGATCTGTCGCCCATATGCAAACAGAGATGTGAGACCAGAGTGCTCTGAAGAGGCCGTAAATGGAAAGTCATAAGCAATGACAAGAAATGTTATTTAACTTTTTGCTTAGGCAAATTGCGCAACACAAGGCATTCTAAAATTGCTGCCTTCTAGTGTTGATCATAATAATTGATTCAGAAAAAAACGTCAAGATATTTGTAATACAAATACAAACAGAGACTGACTGAAGCATCGGCTGTGCGTCTCGAGTGGAGCGTGAGCAAGTGATTAGCATATTTATGAGTAAAAGTGAAATTAATGAATAGAAAATGTAATATGCACAGACACACGAAAAAGGTTCGCAAATATTGACAAAGTTCAACGCATTTGTGGCTAACTTCCACTCGACCAACGACTGACTGGACAATGTGCGGAAGCGTTGATGCATACCAAAAGGTCGCAAATATTTTACATCATATAATGAATCATGGCCAGCCCCTAAGACATCTCTGCGCATCCACTTCAAAAAAGCAATGATAAACTTATGTCAGTTACAGTTCAGATGAGCTCTTCGAGTGCTTTCTTTGGATGGTGGCAGTTGACAACTTTTTGGCTAATACACGCTAAGTGAATTTCTGGCACTTTCTCAACAGTTTACCAAATGTTTACATGCTGGCAATGGTCGTATTTCATTTTCAATAGCACAGAATGCTCCCAAATCGTCTTCAAAACATTGCTGAGCCATTGTTTGGGGCCAGGGCTTTTAGGTATTGGGAGCGGACGGTTATTGATTCTGCGGTTCCATAAACTTAGTAACTTTCATTTCGTTTTGCTATTTGATTTTTGTAGCATTGTGAATTATTGTGGTCATGCCTGGGCCAGAAGGAGGACGGTCTTGTCTCTGTTTCTGCTCGTTAAACACGGCTCAATGGCAACGTTTGTCACCAGAAATTAATAACAATGTGCCGGTTAGTTGGCCAATTCTAAGCAACAGCTTTCTCATGCGTAAGCCGGCCAAAGAAACTCGTTCACTAGCCAATAAATAAATACACCCCAATGCACTACCAAAGCGGGTGTCTAGTAAGTGAAACTTTGCTAACGCTTAAGACCAGTTTCATTCATATATATATATATATATATCATATCAAATGTATGTTTTGGAGTAATTGAGAAATATAATTAAACAAATCTTTTCTTGATTGTAAAATATTAATTGAATTATATTTAATAAAATAAAAACCAAAAAGTATTTTATCAATTAATTATTGTGCTATGAAAGTCTCAATATGGTTTTACTCAAATTTTCTTCTAAAAAATCGGTTAAGTTTCAGTATATTTTGGTCTGTGCTGATTACCCTCAAGCACCAAGGCAGATGAGCTTCTAACACTAATTACACAAGTGACCCATTTTGTTTGCATCACTTTTAACACCAGATTATGGTTTAAAGTTGCAACTTTAACTGTATGCAGCAGCTGGCCATATTTGTCAAGGAAAAAAGTCAAAGGTCAGCTGACTAATGACCAATTTGCTGGCTGACCGAACAGCTGAGCGTAATATTTATGTTTATCATGACGTTGCTGTTGTCAGCGATGATAAGACGACTCTCGCCAGATTGATAATCTTGGCGCTAAATTGACAGGCAATTCCGCACAGCGCTAATTAACTCTCAGAGTACGTTTTTCACACAAAGTTTGTTATTTTTTATTAGCATTTGTAAAAGAGAAAACTGTGATGTCGCTGATATTTAGTCGTTACTTTTGTCACTCAGCTTACGGCGTCAATGTCACGCAGCGGCATTGGTTAAGAGCACAGGTATTATCTTCAGCTGAGACTCGAATTGAAGCCAAAACAGCTGTGCCTCTCTACGTAAGCCGTTACGTTGTGGTAACGCTTGCAAACTGGTTGATCGCACCCGCCGTCGACTTCAGAGCCGTTGGCTTTCGCCCGCCAGTCCAAAACTTGGCGAGCTGAACGACAGTCGCAACTCGCTGCTGAAGCGCTGGTATACAAATAAAACAACAAAGCGACGCTCAAAAAATTTATGGAAATGAAAGCACAATTAGATTCCGGCTTCAAGATTGCTCAGTCACAAATCGATTAAAATAAATGCCAAAAATATAACAAATTGTTAGCCATGTGCTCAAAGTGAGCCTTTGTGTGCGTTGGCTCTGAAGTGAAAACCGAACGCAACAATTGCATTGACAGTGTGTCCGAGGGGTGATGAATTAAAGTATCGCTTAGTGAACGGGTTTTTCGGTCGGTTACTTGGTTAGCCTGTCGATTGTTGTTGGCCTGCTACATATACATACATTCGGTCAGTGCAAGCATTTCACCAACGCAAAAAAATAACTTTAAGCCGATTGCAATAACAATTTTCGAACAAGATAACCAAATAAAACGAAAGTTTCGGTTTGCAGGCGAGCATCGAAAATCGTTAAAGACTTCTTCAACGGAATTTCGCATATAGTTCAAATCGCGCTGCAACTCTAACCTGCACAACAAATGAATTAACAATAACGTGGCTGCTAAATCAACTAATGGGCATTATATAAGAAAGGTAAACGTCATAAAAATTTAATTAAAAATGCGCGCTACAATTCATATTGAAAGTGAGTTTTGCTGTGTGTATTTTTATCTGTGTGTGTGCGTGTTTGTGAGCTGTGTGTAACGGCGTTGAAAACTAATTCGACGAAATAATTAAATGAGATTTTTCGCCGATTGAAGCTAAACATTAACAAATATATACACAAAAAAGAGCCGTAACAAACAAAAACAAAATCCAAAACCAATTGTTAACATTTCACTGTCGTCGCATCTCGCTCTGTATCTCTGTGCCCCTATCTCTATCTATCTACTTCTCTCTCTCTTTCTCTCTCTTTCTCTTTATGGACTTTGAATTGAAAGCATGCGAACGTTTGGACTTTAAAGTTTATTCGAAACGCAGCAATGAAACGCTTAAGATGGTCTGCGGTTATATAAGCACTTAACAGCTGGCCTACCTCAATTTACAGTTTGGCAGAGAATCGAGCTCGATTTTCAAAATTCAGTTGACACTTTCTTTTTGAGAAATTGGTTAACGTGTGCGTTATATGCGCCTACATGAAAGCCACTATCTTCTATCTACTATCTACACATATACCCATATCATCGGGACAGTTGTGTGTGGTTTCGTCTTGTTTTCGCCATCAATCAACTGCAACATGTTAAATGTTAATAATTTAACAGACTGCTGAACCTATGGCTATCATTAATGCCACCCTATTGATTACCGGAACGTTAAGTAGCTGTAACAAAAACTGTCACACTGTCGCCTTGGCCAGTGGGGTGTGTAAATGTGGTGAAATGTATCTTGAAGATACAATGTGAAGTACTTGCTTGCTGTTCGTAAAGCAGCAGACATGCATCGACCGTACTTTCATTTTAGTTAACGTCCGCTGCAGATTTCCAACTCTCGCTTTGTGGAGAAGCAGGCAGCAACAGCGGATGAGCCAGCAACTGCAGCAACTTTCAAAGCAGCCTCTGCCACCAGTTTTCGAGTGCAATATTCAGCAATCGCATCTGACAAATGCAGCCCATTTGAATACGCATATTCGCCTCGGCTGCCTCTTATTACATTTTGTTGACGCTTAGTCAAGGCTGAGAGATAATGATGCGCCACAAGAGGTGGCAGAGAGTGTGGTAGATACACGCTCAAGGCTAACGCCCGCCTTCAAAACCAATTTAATGCCGAAAAGAAATATGCGTATGCGATGCTTCTCTGAGCATGGAATTGAATTGTCTGAAGTTGTAATTTGATGAAATTACCTCGCACATCGTGCGCATAATCAACGTATAAATAGATATTGCATAATTTGTCATCTCATTTTAAGTCGAACAATTTCATTTGGGTTCAGAGTATATAATTTATATGGATGACATCTAATGACCGCACACACTGTCGATGTAACTTTCTAAAATCAAAAGACATACAGCATCAAATGGCATTTGGTCGAAACGAGCATTGATTGCAGCCAAAAGTTATTTTTGGCCATAAACAAAACTCGGCACGCATACAAATAGCTCAATTTGATTGGCAGCCGGCATGGGCTGACGCCCCGAAAAAACAATCAGTGCTTAATGGCCCTCGTGCTGCAGGCCAAATTGGTAACTAATTGGCGAAAACAACATTTCACTTGACTCACAGAGAAATTGCATTACACGCCAATCCCCAACACAAGCCAACAACTAGGGTCGACGTGCCCCGGAAATTGATATGAATTGTCATTTAGGCATGAGCCAAGAATAGCAAAGAACCCAAAAGGAGCCAAAAGAGCCTCGTCTAGCGCCTCTCCGACAGGTGAAGGAGCAGATGTATCCTTATTTAACCATCAATCAGAGTGAGCGCTTCCCATCGACTAATTTAAGCCTCACAAACATAATCGATACATTTTGTCTTAAGTATGAAAGCCAACATTTCTTTCACAGAAATAATTCTATGCAAGATACAATTGTCTGTGTCATTATGTTAATAACCGTTGTAACTAATAACCATATATTATATATATATAATTGTTATATAGGTAGCAAATCCATCTCGAAGACTGCAAGTTCATTTCAAAGGTCATGTAAGATATTACGTCTTTCTTAAATTTAAAAGTCTTCTAAATTAGCTTGGCTCGTAAATTTGTGCAATGATAAACTAATTATAGTCAAATTAGTGCGGAATTCAAATAGCTAACTTTAAAGTTGAAAGAGTTCGACTTCGAGAGACTCTTAAATTGTTAAATATATATTTTATATATATAGAATTTATATCCTTTATCTCTTATGGTCTCTGAAATATTACAGACGAACAAACTGACGGACAGACATGATCGTGACCCAGAATATATATTTTATCTACCAGTTACATCATATTGCTCAACTTTATTATACAATTTTCACAAACTTTAATGCGTTAAGATGTATAAATAATTCAACATTTTCTTCTCTCCATATTTGAGCAAAACGAGATCAAGACAGATTGGATAGATTAAGTTTGTCAACTTTTGCAACTTCTTGTGTATAGTTCTGAATACATAAATGCATGAGTCCTTGTTTATGGCAAGTGATTCTCGACTGATATGGTTGACAACTGGTTGCAGTCGTTCACATTTGACAGAGTTGTTAACGGTTATATCACTGTCTTACAGACTTCGTGGCTGAGTCGAGACAATTGCGCTGTACAAAGTGCTGTTTATGACCGCATTTGACCGCTAAATTAATGTCGTTTGTCAACTGGTTATACAAAAACTAGATTTAATTTTTGTTGTTGTTGCTGTCGTTGTGGTTTTGTCCAACTTTTGTACTTTGTGACAGAGTGCACGAGCGTGTCCCAAATGATGACAGCAGGCTTAATTTACCCCGTCGCCGACTCTACGCAGTTGGCCCTTCGATCCGCTCTTATATTAAGTAAATGGTATTCATATGCGACAGCTAAGACGCGACTTTTGATCCAATACCATCAACTTGCATTAGAGCAAACTTAGCGGCAGCCGTCAGAAGTTTTCAAAACTTTTGCAATTTAATTAAGAATATATATTTCAGATGTGATAAATAGAACTTTAAGTAAAAAGGTTAGTAGTTAAGTCGTTGCCATCGCCTGCAAGCATTCAAATATAGGTTTAAGTTTGACTTCAAGTTTGGGGCAAGGCTTTATGAGGGCAGAATACTAGAGCATGAAGTCTGACGGAGCAAGAACTTAAAAGCTGCAGTCTCTCTGAGCCCAGCTCTGCTCAGCTCAGCTGACCTACAGAAAGATGCAAACTTCGTGATAAATGCTCGTTAGTTTGTTTAGTTCTGGCTGCCGAGTTTGGGTTTCGTTTTGAAGTTTTCATTCAGACAGCTTATTTGCATGCATAGAAACACGGCGTGGGTGCTGTGTGTGGCTGTATACCACATAACCAAACTCGTGCTTGTGCCCACTTTTGAATAATTAAAGCTAAGAATGAAAAGCAGCTTAGTCAAACTAAATGTTGTGTTTTGTTTTTGGGTTAAAACATTTGGACAAGCTGTTGCGGCAACAGTTGCAGCGCTGTGTGGCAAGTTCAAATGATTAATGAATGCACCTAATGCATACAACAATGATACACTGGAATACTGAAATATACAAGTACATCTGGAAACTGAACTATCTTTGTATGTGTGTTAATTGGTTGAGCAACGTCAAATAACTTGCTGTGAGACAACTCGTTGAAAATAATTGAGACCACTTATATTTGCTGTGAATATTACATAATTTATGGAAGTACTTCAATTAACTTAACCATATATCTGAACACTTATATTTTATTTGAAGTGGGTTTTGTTAGACAAGTTAAGTTTCAGTTTTGCTGTTATTTTTGTTTGCTATAACATTAACAAGTATTTCATACAACAAATCAAGTAGACACATATTATTTAATTTGAAAATATTTAACGAAACTTTTATGATAGGGTAAATATTTACGTTAGTTTGTGTCAAGTGACGTTTCAAGGAGAAATTCCAACTCCATGGCAATGAATCAATGCATTTAAAATGTATGCATATTATGTGGATTCATTAAAGTCACGAGGTTTTTTGTTGGGCTGTAATTTGTAATGAATGCAAAAAGTTTATGCAGCATATAAAATGAAAATATTTAGTTTGTTTTTTATTTGAAAGAATTAAAAGAGCAAACACTTGTTAGTACGAATCTTGTAATAGTGGCTTTCTAGCCTGCATCATTTTGTATCCAATTAGCAGCATTTGTAAAAACGAAAGTGAAAATTCAACATGAAAATCTCGTGATCTGTGGCGTTGAATGCCTCAAACCGACAAATGCTACTACTGCTCTGCAGACTCAACTCAACTCGACTCAACAGCTGGAATGCTAAAATACGCGCTGCTGCAAATATAAACAAACTGTGTACATTTTCACTTTTTTCGCTCTGCGAAAGATGGGGCGGGGCTGAAGCGCTTTCTGGTTGTGTGTCAAAAAGCGTTGCCGGCACAAGACAAATAAAAAGTCGGCGACGTGCATTGCTTACTTAACGCCTAACAACTAAGTGAGCTGGGAGGGCTTGGAGGGGAGAGCCGTGTATTGGTACTGTCGAGTTACTGTTACTTGCAAGTTAGCAGCGCCTTAAAGGTGGTTGAGTGGTGCAGATCTGTGCCAATGCAGAGGGTCACAATCGGTTGGCTGTCACGCACGTGCTGTAAAATTGTTTATTCGCGGCTTACAACAATATCTCAACCGAATTTATCATAAATGGGCAACGGAAATAACTTTAACGTCTGTGGATTTCATTATAGATAAAGACGCGAGCGCAGAACGTGCAACAAAATCCCATGCTACAGCTGTTGTGGCATGCAAGCGTTAGAGAAAAACAGAGACCGAACAAATAACACAATCAACCGAGCCAAGTGTAAACTCTAATGAGAATGTTAACCACAGCAAATGAAGTTGCCAGGCGTCAGAGCAAATTAAAAACAAACACGCACAGAAAGCGAAGATGCAACCCGCTGTTGTTGTTGCTCCTGTTGCATGCAATTTTAAGCGACGCCACTCAGCAGAGTAGAACAACAACTTTTAGTCAGCCCCTGACAACAATGTTGGGCGCGGCGCACAACGATGACAACACTTTCGTCCCCATTCTGCCGAAAGACATCAGTCCGGAGTTCATCTCCCGTAATGTATTCACCAAAGCAGGACAATACCGTGTCTTTGAGCCTCTGGAGAGCGAAAGCGATTTACGGCTCACTATGGCAGTGAGGCGCAAAGACTACATGCAAAGGGTGGAGCAGCCAATGCAGCCAGTGCAGGCAGTGCAGCTACAAAATGTTAAAAAGCCAAACGCATCCACAAGAACAATTGCCCGACAGCCTGGGCAGAGGACAACAACTATGTCCTTAAGCACACAGCCGCCGAGTAAATTGAATTCCAGCTCTTCTGCATTACACGACGAAGTTGAGAGCTTGGAGAACTTGCTAATGGAGTATGTTGAGCAGTTTTTCACACATGGCAAATATGAACCGATGCCAGGACTTGTACTGGCCCTGCAGCAGAATCACTCAAAGCCATTAAGACTTCAGCGAAGTGTTGTGGAGGATGCGAATGTGGAGCTCAACATTCCTCGGGCGTTGCAAAGTGCTCGACTTTTGTTCTTTGCTGGTAAGTTGAAACAACTTGTGGGGGCGGATTCACTAATGACTTAATTCCTCTGGTAGGACTCAAGAAAGTAATGTGGCCCATCTATATGGGTCTGCAGGTGCTGAAGAGTTTGCTTTTTGCCTTGTTTTTGCCCACCATAATTGGCAGCGTGAGTCGTCTAATTGGCAAGGGTAAGCTTTTGCATAAACGTGTCTACAATTCGTTTAACACAAATGTTCGATTCAATTCATTAACAGGCATCACGACGGGCTCGGCCAGTTCGGTGCCGTTGTTTGTGCGTCCCATGGATCCGCCCCAGGAGTTGGACTTTAGGGACAATAGCGTCCACTTTGAGGACGACAACAAGTTTGGCATGGCCGATGATGCTAAAAATAATGCGGGCTATGAATACAATGCAGGTGGGTGTTAGCAATTTTTGCACACAATTTAGCAAAAATAAATCTATGGTTACGGTAATTTGGGGTAAGTAAAACTTTTCTTTGACTTTTGTCACTTTACCGAAATTGTCTCTTTGAAATGCGTCAAAATTGTAATACTCTGAGAAAAGTTTACAGTGAAAAGATTTTGCTTGAAAAGAACATTATTACGCCATTACTTAATCTCTAATAGAAAATATAAATTAATACACATAAAAAGGCACAAAGATGCTCAGAATATATAATGATAGTCTATATACTACCCACGCCTTTCTTTGATGAAAATCAGGCACTTTTCACTTAGCTCATCCTCTCATCTCAGAAAATTCCCATAAACTTAGAAACTTAAACTTAAAACTGTAGTGTAAAAGTTGAAGTGGGCATGGTTGATTGAAATTTCGACAAATTTACATATACTATGCATTTTGCAGAAGCGTCACAGCAGCAGGCTCAATATGCTGCCTTCAATCCCAACTCGCTGAACTCGGCCACACTCTCCCGCTACGGAGGCCAACAAATGCAGGATACTTATCTGAGCGCGCTGCAGAGCATTGGCGCCGCCTCCTTTAAAAACTCTGGGAGTCTGTCCGCTGGATCCTCTAATGGAATGGCGGCACCTGGCATGGCCAAGAAACCAGCATCGCCGGCGAATATGAATACGTTCCAGAGTTTCCAGAAGGTGCCGAACTCGTCGCTGCTGCTCTCCAACTATGATCCTTTCTATAGTCCGCTGCTCTCGCGGCTCGACTCGGTGTTTGCCCAGCTGAAACTGAATTCGGAGAATGAGAATTGCAGGGAGAAACTCATCTGTCTGATGTACTCGAATCCCGCAAAGTATGCTCCTTACAGCAATCTCGTATCTGCACAGCTTAGTCGGTGAGTTGTGCTCGCTCCTAAAATTATGCTATATATTCTTTAATTAAAACATTTGTAATTTAGCGAACTTAATGAGCTGCGGAAGCCGACCTCGGATAACCCCGACATTTTGCGCTTCTTCAAGTATATGCGTGCGGCCAAGGATGGCCAGGATGGCATTGACTGCGAGGAGTTGTTTGTCAAATGTAAGGAATTCAAGGATTTCGAAAATCCCGCTATGCTCTCCACCTACAACGACATCAACAAATTGGTACAAGCACGTAAATTGGCGTAGAAACGATGACGGAGGACGATGCGAAAGTTCGCACAAGTCAGAATAGGATAGCAGATGACACATCAGATGTTTGATGTCTGCTTCTGTAATTATGCATATTTTACTTTAGCCTAGCCATACGAAACGACTAAATATACATAAATATATAAATTTAGATGTGCGTCGGGAGCAGAGACAGGTTGTGTTTTTTTGGGGCTTTAATTAGTGTGCTGTAAATAGAGAGCTTTGTGTTTAATAGTTTAGTTAGCAAGCAACATCATTTGCTTATATTTTAGCCATTTAGCTAACTTATTTTATTTATTTATCATTTAATTTATTCTATCTATAATGTGCTTAATTGATATATTATTTATTTATTTATTGCGTTTTAATTGTTATCCACTTAGTCAGCCAACACTGTTGCTGCTTAAGCCCCTGAAAAATACCAATAAAGCTTAATTTGTAAAATAAATTTTAAAAATTGAATTTCATTAAACTAAAAAAGCAGAAAAGAGCGGAAAATTGACTTGCAAAAACACTTCAAACGGAATTATGTTGACTGAATTATGTTACTGAATGATTATCGCTATAAAAATGGAACAAAGATACTGTTCAAGTTGTATAAGAAAAATAATTTAATACGAGCTTAAATGTCAAATTTATTGCAAACATTTTTAACTGAGCTCATTGAAGATGTATTAAATGATTTTGCAGAAATTTTCGATACAATAAAAATAAATAAATAAAAGCAAAATATGTTTTTTTTGCATCAACAAGGAGACCACGACAAACGCTGCATATTGGCTGCGTTTCAAATCAGAAATTCGGTTTTGCTCCTTTTGCACTCATACATATATAAAAATGTGAACATATCTGCCAGTCTATATTTCCGCATGATAACTTTGAGCGACCTCATCAAGGAGTTGTATTTATAACTGAACTTGCACGCTACATGATTTCAGTGTCCCCCACATAAAATTATACCCTACACTTATGATAAAGTTTCAAGTGGTTATGATCTGGTCAAAAAAATATATGATGCAGGCAAAGGAATGGATCGCTTATCTATACGTGAAGTACAAACTTAATAATCGTTGATCGATTTCTCTGATAGCTTTTTTTTATACTTAGTTTAGAAAGTAAGTTCAATGCTTAGTACATGTATCTATTTAAGATTGGGAAATATTTAAATTGAAGTTGTCTCTATTTAAGATAATGCTTTAATTACTTTGGCTGATCCAAACTTGTATCTCTTTTTTATTTGACAAGTATTTTGACGTTGTTTTACCGGTAGCTAAAAGGAGGGTATCTACTAATCTGCCACTCGTGCCCCCATAAGTTTAATTGTAATGCTGTTGCAAGTATACTTTGTGTATGTAACGATCTAACTTGATTGCAATTATTGCTATTTTAGCTGGCAGCTACCACAAATGTCCAACCCGCATCATCGCTGTGCCGTCGGCTGACATTTTGTTGATCAAAGTAGTGAACCAAATCGTTATTATTCCCTTGGCTGTTTTGATGGTGTGTGTGTGTGTGTGTGTGTGTTATTTGCTCTCTTGTGGTAAGAGGCAACAAAACTCGGCTCTTGCTGCATGACAACGGGTAGTCAGTTTTATCGTTGACGTACTTCTGCTTTTCGGGGCTTTTCCCCACATAACTGTGGCACACACGCACTCACCCAAATTTACAAAATCACAGCATCCACGACAAATTGGGGGCAATACAGTATGCAGCAATCCAAACTTGGCTGCAGATGCCAACAGCATATTGTAGATGCAAATTGCACTCAAAAAGTTTGTTCACATTTTGCATTGACTTTAACCCGAGGCCCGCCCCCATGTTGCCCAGTCGGAAACCAGTTGAGTTGTACAGTAAAAGTGATTATTACCTCTGCTGAGCATGTTACATAATCACTTGAGGCTTGGCTGTGACGTACGTTTTCCCGCTGATCCGTTGATCCACACATGCTGACTCACCAGCGAGTTGGCTCTTTAAATTAAAGTTGAATTTAACCCAAGGCCCCGACGTGTGCCACATATAATTTTGGGATTTTCTCAAGGCGTCGCTTGCCGGACACTAAAGTCATTGACGCCGCAGCCCACAGACCCACATACATACATTCATACCTCCATCCATTGACTTGGCCAACCCCAACCTACCGCAAGTGTGAGCGTGTTGACGTCTCTCGATCATCGTAATTATGAGTAGCTGGTCTACTACTGATCGAGCCAGTGGCACTCAGTCGACAAATTTGTTTACTGGAACTGGCTGTGTTAAGTCTCTACATCTCCGGCTCTGCTCTGGCCCATTGTTTGTTTGCTGGTGTTTTGTGTTTTGTGCGTTGGCTTGAGTCACAAACACAACGTTGTTTTTGCTTGCACTTCTTTCACAGCACCTCTCGCATTTCATATAAAATCATTGCCGGCCAGCAGCAGCACCACAGTCGATTGTAAGCCAGCTGAAAGGCAAGGTCCGAAGTCTCAAGCCGTTAAGGATTTAACCAGAAAAAAACTCAAGCGTTTATAGGAAGCACCAAAAGGTAAATAACTCAATCACAAACGTAACCAAAGCAAAAACTCTCAACAAAAAGTGAAGTGAAATGAAGTGTGGCAAGTTATGCAACATGCAAAAAAAATGAAAGAAAAATGACATGGAAAAAGCCAAAATAATATTTAAAGTGAATACAGCTATTGTTATAAGCTACATATATAGGTTCGAGTCATATGTGTGTTATTTAATGATTATAAATTAATTTGGCAACCGTATTTGTATTTGCATAAGTTGGGCAAGCATCGATGGCTCATCATCGTCAACATTTCATTGACCTTCAATTTTAATGCGAAAGCAAAACAAATCGAATCGTTGACAAACTTTTTTGGTCCGATTTTGCAATGTATCCAATGATATATTGAAAAAACGTATATAGATTAGAGTTGAACTCACAATTTCAGTGGAAAGCAATCAATTGTAATTTAGAGGCATCATTTATTTATTTACATAAAATATAAAATGTAAATTTACCGTCCCTAATTCAGATCGGATTGATTGTTATCGTTGTACAAATATATATAGCACACTTTGCGTCTGCGGCAGAATTTTACAAGCTTCATTAAAAGTTTCAAATTTATTGCCAACTTTTCAGCGCTCGCAAATCACTTGCCATAAAAATTTAAATTTTGCCATAATGTTCTGTTCGTTGCATATTCTACGGCGATCTTTAAATTCCACAACAAAATTCAATGCAAACGCATTCATTGAGCTATAGTTCTCTGCATTCAGTGCAATTTACAATACAAAGATAACATTTTACAATATAAAATATAATCAATTACTCGGCTGATTGAATATCATCCATGTGTTCCATGCGATACTTTTGATGTGTGTAAAAACTGTAAAAGTATGTGCAAATATATATTGCACAATTTATTTTGATGTCGATGAAATTGAGTTGACCGCAAAATTCGATTTTGTAGTTATTTACTGCATTAGTTACAGCCAACTGCTTCTCAGACAGCACAGCTATTTGACCTATTTGTGTACCCTTGCTAAGGGTTCAATTATTTGCAGACAAAATATGAATCGATAACAGTTATTTATTGAGAAGTGTATTCGATATTTTTAATGACTTCCAATATGAAAGAGATGTACTAGAAATTGTCACATCTATTTTCTATCTATAGATGTTTATATTGGTTTATAAGAGCATTAAATCTTCGACATGATCCTATCCCTTTTCCTGATTTTAGTCAATTAGCTTCGTTTTTATATGCATTTAACGCAATTTATATTACAAGCAGTTGCTCTTCCAGCCTCACTACTCTCAGGGGTTAGATGACCACAAAAAAAAGAAGCAAACCGGTTTGATTGCATTTCTCTTTAGGCCGAGGCACGCTATGTTTTTGGGTTGAAATTCGGCGCCAAAGCTACAGAAAGCTCGTCTATCGATGTAAGCCAACAGAAAAAAATAAGCATTAGCGGTAAACGCTGCTGTTAGCTGGAAAGTGAGAGTATATTACGTGTGCGCAAATAATTGCAGAAGGTATAACCAAAGCGAGCGGCCAAAAAATCAGTTGCCCAAAGCAGCTGCGGCAATGGCCATAACAAACGCGAGATTCGCCCATTTTTTTTTATTTTATAAAAAGTGTGTCAGTTGTGAGCCGAGTCCGCAACTGTTAAAACCCAAATAAGCCGAGCCAATAAACAAACATTGAATGAAGCATAAAAATTGCCAAAAAGAAAACAAGCAGCTCACGCACACACACACACATTAACACACACACACACACAGACACAGCCACCGACACCGACACCGAGACTCTTAAAATTCATAAGACAAGTCACACGCTGAGCGGCGCTGAGAGTCGATTCCAGAGCCGATAAACCAATCGCAGAGAAAACAACACTTTTCGCCGTTTTACCGGTTGAACCTCCATTGAAAGAATATAACTACATTTTGTTTGTTTGTTTTCGTTTTCTGTCGCTTATTAAAAAGCGTAATTAAAATTTTACATTTTACATTTTGCAGCCATGACAATGCCTGCGCTCACCTTGCTGGCCATCGTCTCTATCTGCGGCATTGGCCTTGTTGCCGGCGACGGCCTCCGACTGCCCGACCAGCAGTCGTCCAGCAACATACAACAAGTATATGCGCCGCAGCCGCAACAACAACAGACACTGCAATTCCAACAGCAGCCGCAACAACAACAGCCACTGCAATTCCAACAGCAACCACAACTGCCGCAGGCGCAGTCGGGCGTGGGTGAGGAACGTGGTCGCTCTTCCATTCTGAGCATATTTGGCCTGGGCAATGACAATGATCCCTATCTAGCGCGCACCAATACCAACTGTCTAAGTGGCGATCTATCCGAGTGCTTCAAGACACAGGCGCTCAACACATTCGATGAGATCTTCCACAGGGATCTGTATCGGTAAGAGTTTGCCACTTATTCATTCCATTTTACCATTCAACTAACTATTTCTCTATTTTAATATAGTCTCTCAGATTTTGCACGCGTTGTTCGCCTGCCAGAGACACAGCAACGCTCGCTGCTCCAAGAGCCTTTTGAGTACTCCGAGGAACCGCGCTCTGAAGATGATGACTGGAATCTGCTTGTGAAATATGCTCTGCGTCGCGCTGAACGGTAAGTTTCTGAAATGGTTGGTCAATTAAGCAAATGGCTTTGCAGTCCCACAAGTGAAGTAATGTCGGCCACAAACACTTGAAATTGACTGCGGCCTCTGGCCGGAACTTTTTTCTTTTTGCTTTTTTAATAATTTACAAGTTTTTGCATAAGCTATGTTTGCCTTCATTATGACACCTTTGTATTTTACTTTTACCCCCCAGCTTCATTAAGTCCACTGCCTTGGAGCTCGAGCTGCCCGAGGAACTGACCGAAGCAGGACGCTACGAGGCGCGCTTCATTGGCAATGACATCGACGACGAGCTGGATGCCGGTGATGGCCAGCGTGCCGGACACTTCTGTAAGTGACAATAGAGTAAATTTAATATGAGAAAGCTATCTTCTAAATGAAATTAATAATTTAATCTTAGATAAGTACAAGTTGTGCTTAATATCAACATCAACAGAAACAACAACAAAATATGATTGCATCCTTTCTATATTCAAGAACTTAAATTTGCTATAGTCTTAACTGAGGACGATATCATATATATATATATATTTAAGAACTAGGGTATTTACAAAACGAACAAAATATCTAACTACCTTTTATGAACAGATTGAATTAAGTTTTCTAATTTATATCTCCTCTTTGTGTGTTTCTTTTACCAAAACTAACTAATATTTCACTTTCCTTTCCTCCACAGCGCGTAAGAAGCTGAAGAAGATGATTATTCCCCTGCTGTTGGTGTTGAAGATTTTCAAGCTGAAGCTGTTGCTCTTCCTGCCCTTCATTCTGGGTATTGCGGGTCTAAAAAAGATACTTGGACTGGCTGCCATTATTTTGCCCGGTCTCTTTGCCTACTTCAAGCTGTGCCGACCGCCAGGCGGTGTCGGTGGCGCCTTTGGCGGTGGCCTGTCTGGTCTCTTTGGCAGCAAGCCATCATTCCCCGAGTACTCACCCCAGGGTGTCGGCGCTGCCACTTACTATCATCATCACGAGCACTATGATGGTGGACATGGTGGACATGGCGGCGGCGGTCCCTACTATCGCCAGGAGCCATCCTTTGCCAAGCCCTACAGCGATTACTACAGCAAGAGTTATCAGGGACAGCAGGAGCAGTCTCAGCAGTTGGGTGGCAATTCCATTAGCTTTGGCAATCCCCAGGAAGCCGCCTACAATGGCTACTATGGACGCAATACCGGCAAGGATATCCCAGCCGCGACGCAAACCCAACAGAAGAGTTAGGACTCGTCAGCTACAGTTGTTTAGGTCATTGTTATTTATTTGCGACCTGGCTAAATTGCATTCCTATAAGCATATTTATTACTGTAAACTGTAAATAAACGCTCAATATTAAGTTCAAAAGTGAATGCGTTAAACTGCAGGGAGTCGGGTGCTAACAAGGGGAGTTGGTAGGCGCCCCTCTTTCATCGAAGGGGTGTGCTAATTAACGGTACAAAATTTCACTACTGAATGTTTCTCCAAATGCTGCAATTGGCTCGCTGCTGCTTTGAAGTTGCTACAAATAAAATGCAGCTTTTAATTAAGGCAATGAAATACCAAGGCGAGAAATTTACGGTTAACGCAAAGGAAAAGTGGCCGGGCGTGTTCAATCTTGCTTTTCTTTAACGAGGGTCGCCGCAAGACTTCAGCTGACTGAAAATTCCAAGAAAATGGCTAACTACACACTAAATGTGTGTGGGGCAAGTTGCAGCTCCGGCTCACTATAAACAACAAGCTGACTCTTGATATATTTATAGTTTGAGAAGGAAACGCGTCAAAAAAAGGTTTATCGTTTCTAAAGCAAATCTGTAGTTTAATCGTTTTAAATTTAGAAAACTCTCAGTAGAAAGTAAACAACTCTATACTTAATAGAAACTACTATCATCTTTACAGTTGTCTGCTTTCTATTGCAATTATAATCATAATAATAAAGCTTAAAATAATTATTTTTGCCACCGCTAAAGTAATTTTAAAAAGTAAATTTAAATGGATTTCAAATTACTAAATATAGATGTTATCTTGAGCTAGATGGTAAGCCCAGATGAAAAAGGGTTTTGATATCGAATATCAACATAAAAATCGCAGTGGAACCGGTTACAAATATTTACATATGAATGTGAAATATATGTCTTGATTTTAATTTCTCTTTTACTGAATGATATAATTTCATATAAATATAAATATTACTTATACTACTTCAATGAACTTAAACAGGCTTTCATTAAAGACATAAAATTGCCAAACACGTTTTAAACTGCTAAAAAAATATTGTATAATATTTTTTAAATCATAAAAGTGGCTTAAAAACTATTAAATTCATAAGCCAATTTATTTGAAATTGATGCTTATTGTGCCCACCCACATATTTATAAATAGCACCTCGTGTGGCGCTGTCTCGAACACAATGTTGGCAGTTCAAAGTCAATGCCAAAAGCTGCCGCTCTGCCCGTCCTGGCCACGCGAGGTGACAACACTTGCAAAGCATTGACGAAGACGATGAAGACAGACCTGGCGACTGGACCACATTTTCCGAAAGAAAGCGGCAGCGGCAGCCGCACATGAGAAATTGTTATGACTTTGCCAGTGGGCAAGTGGGCAGTGGCAGGCAGATAGCCAGGTGCTGGTGGAGTTGTTGGGGACGGGGATGGGGAGGGTTGAGCAGACAACGAGCCAACTGGATCGGGCGGACGCAATGTGATTTGGCTTTGGTGTGGTTTGATTTGGGACCACGCACAGTCACAATAAATAAAGAAATAAAAAAGAGGCAAGTAAAAAATGAGGCAACGGTTTATGGACAGATCGTGTAGCGCTTTTTTGCGCCCCACTGCCAGCCACTTTCGTGGTGTGCCACATTTGAGGAGCTGCCCGCTTTGCAGTGGTTGCGGCCACTCATGTTAGCCTACTTTGGTCGCCTCGCAAATTCGAGCAAATCTTTGCCATTGCTGTTGTTGTTGTTTTTGCTGTTGTTGTTGACCGCCGGCCAATTTACAATGAATGCAATAACTTTGTCCGTGCATGACAAACAGTTTGATTAATTAAATGGCTGGGTCCACTGCTCAACAGACCCATCAGCAAAAATTACCCAACCTCTCCCCACCCGCACCGCAATGTTGTCTCTAGGGCAGCACAAAAATTAAATGAAAATGTAATTTCGAATGAAACCATGGAGATAAATCTGGCTGATTATTTGGGAATATCATGCCGTTAATTAAATGCAGGCATCCACAGCAGTTTCCACATGTCGCACACGATGTGGCAATTACAGTTGCAATAAAACACTCATAAAGAAAAACAAGCAGTGTACAATGCCACATATATTGGCATGACAATGCTTGTAGTTTCCGCAGAATGCAATAAATGTCATTCCCAGCTGATCCATGGATAAAGCTCTTAATTTTGAATCTATATAGTGTAGCACGTACTTAATATGCATTTGCATAAACATAAAATGGCATTTCTTAATACAAATTGTATGCTTTAATTTTCTTCATAAAATGTTTGAACAATATTTCTTATTGAATAAAATAAAATAAAATAAAATAAAATAAGTCGACTTTCCCTACGAGTCTAACTAGTCTCGATAACATGTCTGCCAAACAGGCATTTCTTAATTGGTACAACTACATGGAAATTTCACGTTTGCATGTGAGTCATGTCCCCCCGCACCCTAGCTCCTCCCCACTGACAACATCTGTGGGAAAATTGGCCTGTTTGTTGTTGTGAATTGGGTCTGTTGCTGTTTACTTTCAGTTGCCTTGTTTTCGCAAAGAAAAGCCTAAAGATAATAAAAACAAAGCCAGCAAAAGCAACAGAACATAAGCAAAGTCAATTGGTCCCACTGTATTGGCTGTTGTTTGACTGTTTTGGCTCAAAGACAAGGCCATTAACGCTTTTTGGCCAGCATGCACAAGCTGAGCTCAGAATTTCTTCGAACTGGCTAAACAAGTCCCAGATCCAACTTGAGCTTTTTCCAAGTGTTTTGGGACCAGTTTTGATACAAAAGTAAATTGGAAAAACAAACTCCGATGCCGATGTCGACGCAGAAGTCGGCGTCGACGCTGACGTTGACGTTGACAGAGGCCTGCATTGTGTTTGCGTTGCCGCTTTTGGCCGCTTTTCATATAAAATCGAAACCGCTGGCGGAAAATTCGCATTAGGTTTTCTTATAAGACGACGATGTCAACAGCTGCCGCAGAACAGTCAACGTGACATTTGTGCAGAGCGTAGACGGAAAAGCGACAACGCCGCCGTTGTGTCTCAATTGTTTTCTTGGTGCGTGTGTGTGCGAGTGTGTGTGACTATATATATGTGCCAGGACATTAATGATATGAACTCTCTGTTTATAGTGATACCCAAAAACAAGACAACACAGCTACTAACTAAACAAGTGCTACATTATTCAGCAAAAAGGCAACAAGGAAACAACGACAACAATCAATAACAATATGCAGGCATTTACTTTCTATACGCTCCTGGGCATAACGCTCGTGATGGCGAGCACGGCAAGTTCCACGCCCACCCTAAGCGGAAGTGACAACTTGGTAAGGTCAACATAAGTTTTTGCAATCAACAAAAAAAAAAAAAACAAAAAAATAAAAACAAGAAAAATGAATGTGCCAGCGATAAGAATGAAAAATTGTTAGCCAATTCAAGCTCAGCGGATATCCTGGCAGGAAACCCGCAAGCCAGTTATGTTTATTTTGTTTATTTTTTATTTAAACCTTATCAGTATCAAACACTGCTTAAGGGTTGCATTACACACACAAAAAATGTCAACCTTTTGTTTGCACTTGAGTTAAAATGGGTCTGAAATTATTATCAGGCAAATAGCAGCTGCGTCAAACTGTAGCCTCGAGCTAATCAAAATTAAACTGCTTTCACAGATAACTGGCGACTATGGCGATAGGGAAGATGAGCAGATAATGGTCAAGCTGAATGAGAAATGCATTCACAATGACAGTCATTCGTGTAACATGCTGAAGACAATCGTCTTTTTGGATCGTATTTTTAAAAAATCGAACATTGATATAAGCGAAAATTTCCGTGTGTCAAGAAACAGGTGAGTCTTCAAAATAACTTTTGACAACTAAACCAATAACATCAATCCTTAGAGATGTGTCTGAGATACCCAATAATTACGAGGATGAACTGCTGCTGGCACGCGCCATGGACTCAGATGAGGAATCCTACGGCTTGCTGATAGCCAACAAGCTGTGGAGATTTGTGCGTTCGCGCACACTGCGCTACAGGTTCTCGGACAATGCGGACTTTGTGTTGAGTAGCGATCCCAAGGGCAATCTCAATATGGGCGTCTCTGTGCGCCCCATTGAGGCCTTGGAGGAGGGACGTGGCAAGATGAAGAACATGGGTCCCATGATGATGATGATGGCTGCCAAAACGGGAATGGTGGGTGCCATCCTGCTCAAAGGACTTTTCTTGCTGGCTGGTAAGGCGTTGATTGTTTCCAAGATTGCGCTACTGCTGGCTGTGATAATTTCGCTGAAGAAGCTGCTGTCACAGAAGAAGACCATTGTGGAGGTGCCATCGCATCATGATAGCTACAGTTCGGGCTGGTCGCGTGCTTTCGACGGGTTCGTGGAGGGCTTGGCTCAAGTGCCGGCTCACTTGATGGCGCAAGAGGCACAAGAGATGGCTTACAGTGCGCATCAGCAGCCCGCCAAGGTGGCGCAATAAAATACTAACAAAACAAATTGCACTACCAAAAAAAAAAAGCAAAAAAACAAAACAAAAAAATAATAATAATAAAATACGCGAAGCTTTTTAATTAATGTTTTGATGAATTGTTGCATTTACAAAGTGAGGGAAGACCCCTGTGAGGCTCCCACGCTTTCCTCATTACATTTATGAATAATACTTTCTCTTTAACACAAACTCTTGATTCTTTAGCCTAACGATCTCTTACACTGTCTTTGGCTCTCGTTATCTCTTTGCTTATATTTTCATGACTTAATCTATCATACTCATTTATATAGATAATTCTAATACTCTCGTTATATATTATTTATATTTATTGCTTATGTTAATTATTTATTCACTACAAAATAAAATACTTGAATATAAACACAACACAATTTTACAATTGTTGAGCCAACTTGTGCTCTTCTCTTCTTTATTTATTTATTTTATTATATTTAATTTATTATTATTATTTTGTTATTTTTTTGTATATTTTTGTAGCTTTGCTTTTGCTAATTTCAGATATTCAACTAAGCTAAATGTGTGCGTTAGGTCTCTCGATAAGCTACGAACAATCCAATAAATAATAAAAGTAGTATAAATAAATAATTTAATTAAGCTAATAAGCAGCTTAGAGCACTCCTCGTTTGCCGGATGTTCATTTATGGCAGCAGAACCTCCTCACCTCTCCTCCTCCATCATACACTGAACGGTCTTTGGTAGCGGTTAGGAGCCAAAGCTGCACTAATTGGCTAGGCATCAATTCCATTCATCCTAGGAGCGGTAGAAGGGCAGCTGCATCTGCGGTTGCACATAATTGTAGATGAGCGGTCGTCTTGCAGGCGTGGCTGCAACAAAAAATTCTCCTTTTAATATACCCAATCAATATCCAGCCAAAAAGCTGTATCCAAAATAGTTCATTAAAGCGCTCAAAAAGTTTGTGAGCTGAGCAAAACTTTCGAGTGTCAACTTTGATAGCCAGCTTGTTTGCTCACTCTACGTGCAGCCGCAAATTATGCAGCGATTTTGAACGCCGCGATTTTGAGCGTATATATATAGGTGTGTGTGTGTGTATGTGTTAACTAATTTTAATAGCGGCTTTAGAACGTGAGGCAACTGTAAAGAAACAACCACATAGAGCATAATTCGATTTACGGCAAATAAGAAAACTTTGCAGTCTCGAAATTTAATTAACAGAGTGTGGTAATACTTTTAATTAAGTTAAGCTGCACAAAATGAACATCATTAAACTGCAAGTTGTTAAAAGCTGCAAGTGTAAACTGTAACTGTAATTAAAATGCAGCTCAGTGTTACTTTGTAAGTCCTTGACTGTTTGGTATTACTTAGTGAAATTCGTCGAAAATAAATGTGAGTTAATAATAAATGGCAGTGCATGAAGGATACACTTATACAGCAGCAGCTCGAAAAAGCTGCGACTACAAGGATATTGATTACAAAAGCGTAGCTGCAATATTTTAAATCTCATTTCTTACTTTCTCAGTAAAAATATCAATTATTATACAACATCAATTTAAATAAATATGGCGGTGCATTAACGATAATTAACCAAATACAATTACTACAGATGAGTCCTGGAATATGGAGTATTGATAGATGTGATAGATAACTTTCCCCGTTAAGCTCAAACGACAAAAATGTAATTTCATTGTAAAAGCCAGAGCAACTAAATGTGCTATATATGCTCTCGTCTAACTAAGATAGTTAGCTAAAACAGATGTGTCCTTTTAATATGGTATGTTGAACAATTTGAATTCCATCTATATACTTGTAATGATCGGATAGTATGCCAAATTGCTGTACTCAGGAAGGAAAGCAAAAAGGACAGTAAGCGGGCTTAGTTGTGTGTAGGGGCCAGGTTAAGGTTTTGAAAAACATTGTTGTTTCTGAATCCAAAATGGAACCACAAATGCGTGCAAAGGCAACAGAGTTGAATAGTAATATTTATATACTCTACTCAGTCGTCATTCTCATAATCCGACTCTGCGATAATTTCGGCCACGGCAGTTGCTGCGGCTAGTATATTGGCATCGAAATGGTTACGACCTGGACTACGCCAATGCTGTCTTCCTGGCGATCTACCCGAGCGCAGCAAATCTAGAACAAGGGTATATGTGTTTTACGAGTGCACTTACTTTTCGCTATCCAAGAGTCCTCACGTTTGATCTTGTGGCCCAGGCCGCCGAAGGCGCCTAGTGCTGCCAGTGGATTTGTGTTGTTGCTGCCATCTGTCGAGACCTGAGTTTGGATGTGAGTCTCAGCAGCCAGGCTCTCCAATCCGGGATGGCCGGGATGCGGCATCTGGCCGCCACCGGCCACAGCCAACTGATGTAGTGCACTTGGATACATTTCGGGCGAGACTTCGGCCGCATGCATTGGATAATCCATGGGGCCATAGGGCATCATGTAGGGTGTGTGCTCCGGAAATTGATACATCATTCTGTAAGTAGCGTTTAACAAAGGGCATAACACAATTCAGCTCAACGAGCTGAGCTCACTTACTTTTCACTGGCATTGTCCATGAGTTTCTTGATCAGCACAATGGCTGCAACAACAAAGGCAATTTTAGACAGAATGAGCGCCTTAAGAGTGAGTAAGCCAACCGCCTTGGCGGCCACCATCGTCCATCCGAAGGTTGTGGCTGCCAGATACATGGGTATATACATTTGGAACTGCTTCTTGTCCTGATTATGCTGATGACGTCGACGTCCGCCCAGTAAGCCACCAACACCACCGCCGCTGTCGCCACCGCCCAAGAGTCCACCTGCGCCTCCGCCACCCAAGAGTCCTCCTCCTCCGCCACCGCCGCCACCGCCGCCATTACCCTGAAGTCGGCCTGTTTTTGTATTTGTGGAAACAAGACACGTTTTAAGCGTAATGGCTTTAATGGTGCAGGATGTGTTGGGTAAGAGAGTGGGTCACAGTAGTTTGTACTGGATTGTAATTCAGGAAAGTGATATGATTGATGTTTTCAACGTCATCGTCTGTGCAACGAGCGTCACACCTAATGAATATAAATAATGAGAACTACATGCCCATAGAGCGAAACATTATTTAGTATGCTTCAGAGGTCCTGCCAAGGTTAGGCATTTGACATATGTTGCCAGTGGGGCAGAATCAGCTCTGTCGCATTAGGTCAACTTTCATGCGAATGCGAGCCGCATGACAAATGATCCGAGCATGGAAGTAGCCAAAATAAACTTTTTACTTGCAAAAAAAAGCAAAAGTTTTTACAATTTGTTGCTTATGTTGAAAAGCAGTAAAACGAGTCAGAAAGAACAATTTCGAGAAGTTACTATATTATTTATGTATTGCGGAACTATTGATGTTGGAAATTATGTTCCTAGGAAGCAGAAACTGAAACTAAACTTAGTAAAATATGGAGGACAAAAATGTGTTCTTCAAACAAATCAATTGTTAGGAATGTTCACAGTAGATAATAGGAGTTTAGAGTGAAAGTAAACCATTTATTATCACATTTATTGGTAGCTATTTAAAATAGATAAATATAGCCAGAGAAATTCAATGCGAGCCTCAACAAGTTACATTTTGCTTTCAATTTCAATAAGTACTGCGAAGTTTTAATGATAATGGCTTTTAAATTGACATCTTATTCTCCCCCTCCGACCTAATTATATGTGGACTAAGCCACTGGTACTAAAGAAACGCACATGTTAGTTGTTGGTATCAGGTGTTGGACTCGGATTGCCAACTGCCCCCGTCCAATTAGATGTGGATCAATCAAAGCCAGCACTCAGCACCCCACATTACCTGTGCCACTCGACGCCTTCTTCAGAAGGGCCACTTCAATATAATCGCTATCATCCTCGGCACGCTGTACACTGAAAACCATGGGCCCCACGGGCACACGTATCGCATTTCCGCTGACAAAGTCCATGACGCTGGACAGGCCACGTCCACTGCCTGCTGTCGACCCCCACTTGTGCTTGTGGGCGTCATCGAGAGCGGGCAACTTCACCAGATCGAACAGTCCCAGTTTGATGGTTTCGCCGCGTCGATATGAAGTCAAAATGCCATTGGCAACATTGTGCAGGCAACTGGCATTATTGGCGCACTTCCAGCTTAATTTATCGAGCAGGTCCGTGTTCTCCACACTTTGGGCGGGATTAGTATTTTTTGTCGTTGCTTCGGTTTCAGTGTCCAGTGCATTTACTGCTTTAGCGCCGCTTCTTTTGTGTATTGCCGCATTCGAAACGTGCAGCAATAAAAGCGCAAGCAAAGCGCAACTGGCAGCGAAGGAGTACAACATAATGAAATTAAAATATTTAAAGTTGCGACTAAACACTTTTATTTTTCTTGTGCACAATTAGCAACTGCACTTCACTACACAACACTGGAAAAGGACGAGGACGAGAACGAGCACGCGGCGTATCCTTCACATGGATGTTCTTCAATTAAAGTTGGCAGCTGCTGCAACGCGTTGCAACACGCCGCTATAAAGACTAATTACTTACTGTGGCATGCAACTCGGTTTTATTGTTTAGCCAAGCAGCAATTGCTCTGGCTTCAACATCCAACGACGTCAACGCCAGCATCGACAGCGCCGCAACGCCTTAGCATATTATGCTGCCACTTTGCTACAGTTTTGATTTCAAGCCAGCCATCTGATTGACGACAGCCATCACTCAGTGGGCAGTAGCATCATCAGCCGATTCCATTCAGCTGCTAGTCATGCTATGGCACTGTAGCAGGAAATCGTCTAATAACTAAAAGAAAAAGTCACTTTGTAATAAACTTGAAGAATTCCAATTAAATTTGACAAATATAATAAAAATATGTATACAAATAGCTTAAATTATAAATGGAAGTTACAACAAAAAAATCGAAATTGATGTCAATGTCCCTGAATATATCTAAAACTGAAAAAAGATTGTTAACTGAATTTGTCTATAAATAGTTGAAATTAGAAATAATTTTAATTTCAATGCTTTGAAATATATAACAATTCTTAATTGATGTCAATAGCTTTGAATAGATTTTAAAATGAGAATGGATGCCAAAATCCTTATAACTATAAATTCAGATATACCAAATAAATATTGCCACGCATTATGTAAAGTAATATTAATTGATTTTCAGAGATTGCCTGACATGTCTTCAAATGATTACTTGGGAATATTTCACTTTGTCCCACTGTACTACTGTTAGCATCGGTCGTAAAATCACATTTTGTTGTGTGCTTTCTGGCACATGTGTTGCATGCAGCAGCATTTTATTTTTTATTTGCACGGGAACTTGGCGTTGCCCTGTAGTTCAAGGGTTGGGGTACTTTGTGGCATTTCCATAACTGCACGTCAAGAAGCCAAATGCTTTCGTGTGCGCACTGCATCCTGCTGTGCCGAACACTGCTCTACCATCCCCCCCATTCCAATTGCCACACTCTCCCTGCCATGTCCGAGCAATGCTCTAATGTAGTTAATTTTCTGCTCATTAATTTGCTCGTAATTTGCAGAAAACAATTTTGCTGGCAAAAGTAAAAGCAAACAATGCCAGCCATGGACAATTAAGACACACCGCGCTGGTGGAGCAGGTGGTGCAAGTGAAGCCGGTGGAGCACTGGATGGTGGTGGCAATGCGGCGGCAACATGTGGCTACGCCTCGGCAACTCATTCGAGTCTGGGAGCAGTCAATAAGTGTAACAAAATTGCCATCATACAAATAAATATTATAAATAATAAAAGAAAAGTGAAACGAACTATTAGCTCTCGTTTTTCACAAGTAGCCGCAGCAAGAGCAACTGCAAGCGGTTCAGTTTTTGTTACATTCTGTTGCACATTTGGCTTGGCTATGGGGCATGTATGCTAGTAGTATGTCGGAGGGTGGGGTGTGGTTTGTGGTTTGTGGTTTGTGGTGTGTGGTGTGTGGTGGGCAAACACTTTGCGCTGCATCTTGCATTTGGCTAATAACGAAACTCAGTATGGCAGTCACGCAGGCCAACTGACTGCTCGATATAATTGCCCAAAAGCTTGCTGTGTTGCTGTTTGCCTCTTGTTGTTTGTAATTTGGAGGCATTGGCAATGGCAATCAGACCTCAACGGTTGCAACTGGCACTTTGCCAACTGCTGTCTTTGCCTTATCTAAGATCAACATAATAACAATAATCCAGACGCAGCAGCCAATGATAGGTTACACTTTTATTTTTTTAGTTTCCCACCATCTTTGTGCTTATTGTTGTTATTGTTATTGTTGCTGTCTGTTATCGGTTTGGCAACCCGACACCAAAAATCGACAAACTATTGTCCTCTTCACGGTCAATGCCACAGCAACGTGTTGGGCACAAAAGCGCAAGTAATGCGAAGCGGTTCGCCTGGTTTCGTTCAACAAGAAAGTGAGGTAGCCACAGTGCACATTGGTCGCTGCCAATAGCCGAAAAAGTCACTTTTTAAATCATATTTTCCAGAATTCAAGTGATAATAATACGATTGTAAAAATAAAAACAATTTATGATTACATTTATTTATTGAATGAAATAAATCAAAATAAGTATTGAAATTTCACAGTATTAGCATTCGATTGCAGAAACAAAAACAATTTTGAACAGTTATTAATTTAAATAAATAAATACAAGTATTCAAAATAATGGTATTTATTTTTTAATTATTTTTTTTTTTTTCAATATTTTTGATTTTTTTGTAATAGTTTTTTTAGTAACCTTTAACTATTGACTGTACTTCCATCTCATTCCTATCGTGAGATTTTGTTCAAATATTTTTTTATTCATATTGTAAACTGTTCAAAACAGCTGTCACCAAGTGTAGCACATAAATTTCTCCCAGACAAAATGTTCTTGCGACGCATTTTATTGTGCAACTGAAATATTGTGTTGTGCAGATTGTTTATTTGGTAAAACCACAAGGAAAAAGGCAATCATAAAACTGAATTTGAAATCCAATGTCATAAAACGTTACTATTTTTGTTATTTGTTAAGAATTTGAAAATCCAAATTTTTTACATATTTTTTATGAAGTTATTGCTTTTTAAATGTATGGTATGGTAGGGGGGTTGCAGGAGCGGGCAGACATTCAATCATGCTCACTTTAACATCTTAATGGCTCCCTCGTTTGCACAAAGTTAAATCCATGCAATTGAAACCACTGTTCAAGTGGCAGCTCCATACTGCCAACAGGTCCAGGCCAGACTTCAGTGCAGTTAAGTCCACTGTCCGTGACTGCGTTTTGCACGTCATCCAAGACTTTGCGTGGAAGGAAAAGTGAAACGGAGGGTTCGTGGGGGGATTAAGTGGGTTGGCGGGCGTTGCCATTGTACAGAAAGTGGTAATTCAATGCCAATCCATGTTGCCACAATCTACTATGTCAGCAGCACATTAGATATACATTTGTAGGTGTGTGTTTGCACGTGTGCAACTCAAAGTTTAATGATCCTTGACTTTCGTCGCAAACCACAACCGGATCCACTTTAATATAGGGCCAGTCACAAGTGCAGCCACACACCTTTATTAGAGACGACAACAGAAGCAAAGACAGCAGTTACATTAATTTGTCAGGACTTCGAAGAATATTTGTACCTAGTTGTAGGACATGTTGAGTGAGTACAAAGTGCGGCTTAAGGGCAGGTGCAACTGTTAATTAAGAGAAAGTTTTTTAAATATCATTTTTAATGAAATTGTCAAAAGCAGTTTATTTCTTTCAAATAGTACCCTGCAGCTAGAAATGGCGTTTACGAAGCTATGCAAATATCTGGATGCTCTGTTTTTAAATAAATATGTAAAATTTCTCAAGAACCCCAGGCACAAAATACTACAACAAATTTGTTTCAATAACTTTATACATTTTGGTATTTCACTTAAAAAAAAAACGTTGAAAATTTGACAAGGACTTTATATCATGTAAACTTTTGTCATCTAAAAAAAAAAAAGAAGAAGCAATCACTTTATAAAATGTTTCTTTAACTTAACTTAAAACAATTATTATAAAACTTATGTTAGCTCAATTTTACAAGGCGCTAAATGAAACGCGACGCTGATTATTAAGTCTAGCTTTAAAAATGTATTAAGCAACAAAACAAAAGGATATCCTCCAGTTGTAAACTGTCATCTTAAACGTAATTTCATGTTTAATTTGTTTTAGTATGTCTCGTTCATGATTGCATTACAAGGAGTAACTTTTTTTTTAAAATGTGCCCCCTTCAAACTAGTCCGGAAGTAAAATGGATTGTATTACTCGCTGTAAGGAGATTGTAATGAGCACTGAATAATTGATGTGTCCAAGAGCAGAACAAATAAAATTGGAAGCTTGTTGCGGAAATTCCTTAAAAGCTGCCAGCCAACAATGAGAGATGTTCTTTAAATGCGAGTGGAGGCATTGCAATATTTATTTGTCCCAAAGCACTAAGTTAGTACAGATATTGCATGTCTGCCATTTTTGACTACTTGTCTCTGGCTTCATTAGAAGCCAATCAAAATTAATGGATTATAGACATGCAAAAAAATGCAAGTATTTGTTTCGTTTTGAGTGCCAATTAAAGTAAATGAATATTTATGTGTTTTTCTTCATAATAATATTTATTATTTTTCTCTAATTGTTTGCAGCCAGACAGCATTAGTAAAATGTTGTTTTGTTGTCTCCCCTGCAGTTGTTATTGTTTTTTGTTATTTTCGTTTTATTTTCTCTGGCACAAATTTCGCTGATGGTATTGTACTTTGATTGTTGTTTTGTTGATGTTGATGTTGCTGTTGCGATTTCGTGCTGCTTCTTGTTAGTTTTCATTAAGCTTGGCTCATCGATTGCCTGTGCGCAGCGATTCGTTTAATTTATTTTAATCTAATTGTCTTCTAATTAAAATACTTGAACAATTTCCATTAGATTTCACCAGCAGCAGCAGAGCACCCGCTGCGGCATTTCAAATGATATTCCATTTGAGCTGCCCATTTATCAAATCACACTAATTACATTCCATTTGGTTCCTCATTTGTAGCAGCAGGATGTGTGTAATCCGTTATCCGCTCCCAAAACACTGGAAATTCACACATTTAAATTAATTTTGTTATATGTGGTTATGCTAAAAAAAAAAACACTACACACTTTCAGGCGCAGCTCTTTTTGCAGCAGCCTTTGGAGCGCCCCAGAAAATGTTGTCAATCTCAGACGAATGAATGAGGTCTGTTAGTTCATAGCTTCACAGACATAGTGCCTCATCCCCACAGATATGCACGTGAATTACCAAGAATTTTGTCTAGCTCACAAATTAGTTTATGATTATGCAACATGTACAAATTAATATCAAAAGCAAGAAAATATACGAGTATATCTAGAATACAGTAACTCATCATTTACATTTGGGATATTGTATATTGAGGTTATACTGGGGAAACCGCAGCAGTAACTGTACTTTAATACAGGGTACTGCGTAGTCGAGTCACCTTAACATAAGACTCCCTTGCAGGAATCCATGTATTAGGGAACACACAAAGACAAATGGAATAATATCAAACAATTATGGCTGCCTCAAGCAGTCTGTCTAATAGAGTATTTCGTACTGATGGGTTACCCATTAGACACATTGACGTACACATGCACCCCCCTCACCCACGCTGCTGCTTCTTGTCTGCAGTGGCACTCAATCAACCGCATACAATGCACACATTGCAGCTCATTGAAAGGCAATCTGGAGCCACGGAAACTTCAATTATAGAGACCATGTGGATGATGATGATGCTGCACAACAATCAATTATAACAAGTTGCCGATACAGATCCCATCTATGCAGCGTGCAACAATATACTCTGAATGAATTCACAATAGTCCCACTCAAATGAATCGAATCGCAGCGCTTTCCATGGAAGAGCAACGGGCTCCGACGTGACCACCACAGCTGCTGCTGCTTCTCGATGATCTGCTTCTGCCAACGGTAGATATGAGTTGTGAGATGTGAGATGCGAGTTGTGAGCTGGTCGATGGTAGATACTTTCTTTTTATTGCCGTCACCGTCTCAAAAGGCAAACGTAACGAGTTCAGATCAATTTTGGTTGACTTCACATCGCGAGCGCAGTTCAATAACGTTTCGACTTGACTTGTTTTTTGTTGCGGATACATTGTTTTTTTGCTGTTGTTGTTTTTTTCTCATTTTTTGGAAGCTTCAAATTTCCAGCTATAATAATAATAATAATAATAATAATGTGTATGTGTGTGTTTGTATGGGCCGTGTACAACAATATGTTAAATATAAAAATTAATACATCGAGAGTGAAAGTTATTGCTTTTTGAGCGCAACAACGTCGATCATCATCATAATGATGATGGTGGTGATGATAATGATGATGCTGCTGCTGCTGCTGATGCTGCTGATGCTGTTGGATGCTGATTTCTTTTGATGGGATATTGAAGCTTTACGGACTTAAGTCACGCCAATTTGATTAATACATATTGTGCAGTATTACAAAATAGTCGAAAGGTGTTATAAGGCTTATGAAACGCATGAGAGATGTCAGACCAGACAACTCAGACATATTATACAGTCTTAGGAACACTTGACTCTGGCTTTGGCAAAAAAAGGTCGCAATGGTAAAGTTTTGGCTATTTTATTTTTAATGGCTAAAACTTGACGCAAATAACTGTTAAATGTCTTGCAGTCACATTCGACAGAGCAATCAAAATGTGAGTCAACTTTCGCTTTTATAGCACGCACATCATGAGGGCAAATGGAGCTGTTTAGGCCCAGTTTAGGATACACAGATAGATAGATAAAGAAAGACAGAGACAAAGAGAGAGAGAGAGAGAGAGGGAGACAATTGTGTGAACCAAAGTCGGGTGCATATAATACATAGTAATTTGTGTGTGGGGTGTGCGTTAGAAACAAACCTGTGGCACTTTGACTACCTCTAATTTGTATAATTTCGAGAGCTATCAAGTTGAGTGGGGGACGAGTTATATTCGGAGCTAAATCAGCGGAGCGTAACTCACGACTGTCTGACCAACTGACCGTTGAAAATTGAAATTGAAAATTGCAATGGCCACTGAAGAAGAAAATTGCACTGCAAACGCGAAGAAAAACGCAAACTGAAAGCATTTCCACTTATTGTACTTTTATTTTGTTTTGCTCACCATTGTTTTAATTTTCAATTGTGACAATTCACTTTCGGGATGCTTCAGTGATTTGGTTTTGGCCTTGGGAAAGCTGTCTTGGTAGAATAGTTGGCTATAAAATATGACCAGGCCATTTTCAAGGTTTTTAGTTGATACGCAAACGCTTTAGCGACATGTGCCGTCTACGCTGTTCACTGAGCCTGCTACTCAGCCTGCTGTGCCTCACCAGCGCCAAGCTGGACAACTGCAACCGGGAGTCGCCGACACTACTCTGTCGCGGCGAGAATGCCTTGAGGAACGTGCTCCGTAATCTGAGCAAGAGCGACAAACCCCTGGTTCTAATGCGGGGACTGGAGATTGTGCCACTTCACAACGAAACCACTGAGAATGAGTTGGAGGCGCCACACTCTGCAGATGGGGATACAACGCTGCTAGACTGTGTGTCCACCTATTTACGTACGCATGAGCTGAACTTAAAGCTGGCCGATTTGCTGGAGGACACAAGCGATGGCCAAGTGGCAGGTGGGTTATTGTTGTTACTATTATTGTTGTTGGCCAATTGGCCATGCCACTGATTTGTACTTGACTATTCAATTTGGTAGAAAAGTTCGTAATAGGATTATGATATTGGCCACAATTTTCGTTTGTAATCTGTGTCAACCAAAAGAACATTGGCCATTTTGTGTGTGTTACAGAAATTTGAAAAAAGTGCGTGACAACTTAAGAACTAAGTTTATTGTACTCTTGTAATGGGTATTATTTTTGTTGTCGAGCTGTGTATAACGCATTTATGGAGGAGTACCCAAAGAGAATACATACTCTTGATCACTAAATATTCTATAGCAACTTAGAATCATGTCAGAATCATTGTGTCCAACAAATTTATGTTCCGATTCCTATTCGGATACGCAAAGTATACAAATTTCGACCAAGGTTTCTGTAATTTTGCTAACTTTTTTACAGTATTTGGTCAGCAGTAGGAGTGAGCTCTGCCAGGTTGTGTTATTTTCGGCGTGCATAAAATAACCATTCTTTCTTGTTATATCCTGGACCCATTAAAATGGTTAAAAGGGAATAATGAAATTGTGCAAAAGTATGTAGCTTGTTGCAGAAATCATGGGGAGTACCCCATAGGCATAAATATATTCCTGATCAGGATGAAGACTCTGGTCCGAAAACCTGATTATAAGACGAGAATCACAATAGCAAAAAATATACCGATATCCATGCTACCATATCATTTAGTTAGCATCTCACTTTTTATTATATTTCTGCAAAATATTATTATCAAGGATTAAATATATATAAATATTATAATATATGTAAGGACTGTAAAATAATCCACAACAACTTTGATGGATTGCAGCAATATATTATATGCAATACATACATATTTATTCAAAGGGTATGTAATCATTGACTTGTTAGCAAGTTGTTCTTTTTAGTTAATGTTTTACACTTCAAACCAGCTACGGTGCCACAACTTGTGCCTCAGAACGCACCACAGTTTGGTTTAAATTTATATATGTATATATATATCTTAGCACCATTCCTAAGCAGGTTGAACACACGCAGATTTATGCGCTTGCCCCAAACACAGTCTCATAAATTGCAATCTTATTTCCACTCTGACAGAGGCACGCAAAAAGGACAAAGGACAGGGCATGCTTCTGGCCATGGCGCTAATGTTTGGTAAAATGATGGCCGTGCTTGGACTGGGTGGAATTGGGGCGCTGGCTATGAAGGCGCTGGGCGTGGCCATGATGGCACTGATGATGGCCGGCATTGTGGGCCTTAAGTCTGCGGCACAGCATGGCAACGAGTCGAGTCACAGCATCTCCTACGTTACAGGCGAGGGACATCATCATAAGAGACGCCGCCGTGCGGCACGCCACCTGCAAGTGGTTAACGAGCAACCTTTGGCTTATAGGTCTTGGGCGATCTAAGTTAACACTACTCGCATATTTGTTACCATTTACGTACGTTTAGGTTAAACTAATTTATTATGACATGCAACAATACAAAAGGGGGCAGCTTGTTTAATATCTCAAAGGGGGGCGTAGTCTCTGAATGCATTCAGAGTTGGTTCTTTGTTCCATACTCATAGGTGTCACTGTCGCAGCATTATTTGGGATCTTGTTTACTTCAGCTTCAGTTGCTGTTGCTGAGGCAGAGACTGATGCTGATGCCTTGGCTGCTCTTCGTTTTATGAAATTGGTGAAAGTTTATTTCAGTTCAGCTCACATTGTGTTGCCAGCAGCAGCAGCAGCAGCAGCAGCAGCAGCAGTAACAACAACAACCACAACGGACAATCAACCTACTCACAGCAGCCACACTCGATTTGTAGTTGTGCCTGCTTCAATACCCTACTTTCCATTGGCATAACTGCTTTGGCAATGTATTTAACATTATTGGATAATTTAAATGGTTCTAAACATTAGCCCCATTAACCTCCCTTAAGACAACTTTGTGTGTTCCGAATTAAGATGTGTAGTTATGCTAAAGGCTCAAGGAATATCGAAAAGGCTTTACCTATGCGAAACATTTCAGTATTGGCCATTTTTGATATTTTAAAATCGAATACATGTCCTTAATTGCAAACCTCACACAGCTTAGCTAAGCAATTTTTTTTATCATTTTGTTAACAGAATATTAATATAAATACATTCTGAACAGAATATATCTTGATGATTTCACAAAATGTATGCACTCTCTCCAACTTTAGCCCTTTTGGGATTCTGAGAGCATTTAATGGTCAACTACACTCAGCAGATTGGCACTGTTGCCATGATTGTTATTTGGCTTTTTGCCATTAATTTACCAGATAGTTTTTATGCTGTGTACGCATATTCCATAATAAGGTTGTCAGCTGAATTCTCGGAGGCGTTTCAGATTTCTGATCTGGGACTTGGGATTTTATATTTTCTGGTGAATTAGGTAGATTGGATTTGCATATTGCCACAGTTGTTGTCTGCTCAACTTTCACTCTATTTTGGCAGCGAGCGCAACGGTTCTTTTTTCGGACGAGCCTGCACAGCAGCAGCAGCAGCAGCAACAGCAGCAGCAACAGCCACAACTGAATCGTAAGTGCCACGGGCAACAACAACAGCAACAGCAACAGCAACAACAAAAAGTAGGGGTAACGGCAATAACAACAAACTACTGGCATGACAGACCTACATTTTTGTTTTGGCCACGCTGCGTTCTGTTACACAATATCAATTAAAGCCGCAACCGGCGCGCCGTCGGGGGCACTTGAAAAACCCGTTAAGCTCTTGCGGCAACAGGGACACCTCTTCTTCTTCTTCTTCTTCTTCCACTTCTTCTTCTTCATCATCTCCAACTACTTCTACCAATGAGCGCAACATGCTCTACCTCGCACCTCGAACCTTGGCACTGGCAGTGGCTCTACCACAAACTATGTCTCTGCTTCTGCCTCTGCCTTTGTCTCTGTCTCTGCCTCTGACTCTGACTGTGCCTCTGACTGTGGCTCTGACTACTCCGGTAGTGGCTTCTACCGCTACCGCTGCCCGGCGGGCCGTTAACTTTCCCTTTTAAACGACTTTTTACGAGTTTGCGTTCGCGTTCGCGTTTCGAGTCGAATTTGTGTTTGGACTTGGCATGAGTTTGACTTTGGCCAGCGTCTGGTCATTAAATTATAAAATAAGTTCATATAAAAGCGAATTTGTTGTTTTATAATTTTTTTTGATATGATTCCGCGCAACTGTCCGGTAGTTATTGCCGCTATTACTGTTGCTGCTGTCGTTTATGTAAGTCTCAGTGAAATGAAATGAAATTGATTTTCTAAAAATTCAGTCTTTGATTTTTTATTGCACACATAGTTAGTTGGTCGTCAGTTCGTCAGTTGACAATAAAAATCTATGAACAGATGATGGGCAACGTGTCTGAATGTGGCTGCTTTTGTTGCTGCTGATGCTGCTGCTGCTGTTTGTTGTTGTTGTTGTTGTTATTGTTGTTGTTGTTGCTGCTGCTGCTGCATAAATGAAAGTTCATAAAGAAATTAGCTGATTAATCGTCGTTCGATGAGCTTGGAAAATGACCGAAGCGCCGAACAGTCCGTCGAAGTTAACTGAAAGTGTCACGCAGCCTACATTCAGTCAGTCCACACACACTCACACACACACACACACACACACGCACACACAGCTTCCACAAATTTCACTTTTCAATGATGCTGACGACGCTTCTGCTGCCACTCTGCTCTGCTCTTGGCTCTTGGCTCTTGGCCAACAGCTGAGAAGTTGAGCAGCTGCTGCTGCTGTTGCTGCTGCTGCTCCTCGTTTCACATGTAAATTAATTTTTAACCCAAATTCCGCAAATTCTTTATACGGCACGTTGTGACTGAGTTTTGGTTGTCACAGCATCGGGTCAGCTTGAAACTGTCTGGGCTTGTATATTATTTTCGCCTTCTTTTTCATTTTTTTTTTTTTTTTTTTGTATTTCATTGCCCTTTTTTGAATATATTTTTATTATAATGCAAATTTACTTACAATTCAAATGACCATAAAAAGGGGAATAAGATTAAAGTTTATTAAGCATATTTATGGTTTGTGAAATTTTTTAATTATAATTTTATTTATAAGCTGCTTTGATGTTAAGGTGTTCTTTTCGTTATGGGTTTTTGGCTGAAAGGATTTGACGCTTATTTTCGTGTAGATTGAATTTGCATCTTGTTAATTTTAATTAATCATTAACTATGAGTACCTTAAATGAAAAACTTGGGTTTGTTATTATGAATTTGTTTTTTGTTTGAAATACGCATCTCACATTAATTTTCATTTGAATTTTCGCGCATTCCACAATTGAAGAATCTTTTCATTTATTTTCTGAAATATATTTTGAATCAATTTATATTTGTATTTTCATATGCACATCCAAATTGATTCGCATTCGCAGAATTCCAAAAGAGTCCCTCACATTGCATCATCTCATTTCACTTTTCATTTGTTGTTGCTGTTCCGCAATGGAACCAACAACAATTTCTGTAAAAAAAATCTTTTGAGGCATCCGAATGCAAACTGAATATTTGTGTATTTCATATAATTGGTATCTCTATGTGTATCTGTAGATGTATATATGTTATTGAGGGGTATTGTGTATCCATTGCTATGGCTGCTGTATATATATATATATATATATATGGCTTACTTCTTTCTGACCGCGACTTTCTCCCGAGAAATTGTTGTTATTTATTCATTAAATTTTTGCTTCTGCTATTGTTGCTCCTCCTTTGCTGCCGCTTTGGAATTGCCCTTGTTGGCGTTCTTGTTGTTGGTGCTGGTGCTGTTGCTGGTGCTGGTGCTGTTGCTGGTGTTATTATTATTATTGTTGTTGTCGTTGTTGTTTTTATATAAACACACCTACATAGCGTACACAAAATATTTGTTGCATGAGGTCTCAATAACAAACGGCACAAAAATTTAATGCAAAATCAACAAGACAAATAAAATATGAGAAATAAGAAATATGTACTGCTATCTGGAGACAGTAAGACATACTCACACACGCACTTACACACACTATCACACACACACACACACACACACACACACGCACACATACCAACGCAGCCACAATGTGGCAATTGATTGACAAAACTGAAGAAAGATGTCAGCAAACAATGTGAAATTGTGCTACCAATTTGATCGCACCTGAAATTATTTACCTCTGCCTCTGCTTTGCGCTCAATGCCTGTCATTTTGGCCAGCACACGGTACATTAACGGCACCGTTAACTCAACAGCCTCTTCACCTTACCTTATTCCCCGCCTCCCCACGCCTGGCCCGCTTCTCTCCATCTCTCTCTCTCTCTCTCTCTCTCTCTGCGGCCCCCATTAACATCGACGGCAACTGAAACGAAAATCTTTTCTAATTAGTCGCAAGAGTTTAGTGATGCAAAGATTTTCCCCAGTTTCTAATAGTCGCTTTTTGTTGTATATGCAAATTAAGCAAACAACACACAAATTCAACAAAAAAATAAAAATAACAAAACTTTCTCGACCAAACACATTTTAAACTTTAATTTAATTCAAATACTTTGTTGAAACAGCAAGAGCCCAAAACTGTAAAATTCACCGAACCAAAAACGTTGCCCAGCTTGACAAATGGCTTTTCAGATCCAATTTAAGTCAGAAACCACAATGAAAGTGAGAACATAAAAAGTACATGTGTTTTGTATATATACTATGCCACTATCCATAAATAAATAATTTAACTATTTTTAGTTCAGACCTGCTTATATTATATTTCAGATATCAACAGTGAAAAATTGAAAGTGTCACATCTTGTGATCTGATTAATAATAACGCATATTCATTAAAATTAACAAATTCCAGTTAACAGTTTTTAGTTTGGTAAGCCCGAATGATTAATTCAAACATAACAAATGGTCTGGGATTTGATTCAAGATTTTTAACGGGTTTTATTAAAATAACTATTCAGTTGTCAATACCACTTAAAGTCAGTTATCTGGCGCAAATTTGAAAGAAAACTTGAAACAAAGTTTGACAGTGCTGCTTTAATCTTTTCACACGAAAGCGCATTTATGTTTGAAAATATTTTGAAGCATGCTTAACTGGTAAATGACAGCAAGGCTTATCCGAAAAGTGGTGGAGCCAAGGAATTTGTGGTGTTAAAAGTAAAAAATGTGTGCACTTAACACTTAAGTAATATTGCCTGCACCCGACAATTTATTTCTCGTGGAGCGTTAAATCATTTGGCAATTTGTTTGATTGAAGTGCATTGGCCATTTGCTAAATGTGGCAGTGGCAACAACAGTGGTTGCAGGGAGGCAGGGAGGCAGGCAGGCAGCAACGCCTCTACATTCAACAATGGCCGAAATTCATTCATAAAACAAGGCTTCAACACTTGGCCGTCTGTTTTTCGCATGAATGGGCAGCAGCTTAAAGTTTAAGGCTCATGCCTCATGGCTCATGGCTCATGGCTTTGGGCACTTGGCTTTAGCTGTTGGCCAGATTGATGGCGCTTACTGCGTGAGCCAACATAAATTTTGTGTAAACGGATGTAGGTGTGCTAGTGTGCCCGTGTGTGTGTGCGTGTGTGTGTGTGTGAGGCACTGTGTGTGGCTTGAAGTCATTTGCATTTGAATGTATGCCGATCGCAACTGCTGCGGTGAAAATCGAAAAAATGAAATTTCAACAAGCAAGATGAACCGATTCTCCCTCGCCCTCTCCCTCGCCCTCTCTCTCTCTCTCAGTCTATCTCTGTCTCTCTCCCCATCGGATGCTGCTGCGCCTCTTTACGTTACGAAATGTGTATGTGTTTTTTAAGCGATTTACACTTTTACCGTTACATGTGCCCCATTGACGTCACACACAGACACGCACAGGTTGGCCACTTTGAAAGCTGATTAAACTGCGGCAGCAAATTACTCATACGCCCCATCATCGAGTGGCACATACCGACGATGATTCAGTGGATTTCATAAGGCACCACAGATCCGTTTGACAATTCGACAGAGCATATTATTGGGTATCGTATCTGGTATCTGTCTGTCCGTCTGTCTGTCTGTCAGTCTGTCTGTCTGTCACCTGCATTCACCTTGAAACGGAGGAAGAAACACATAGCAAGAAAAAATAAAATAAATAGCGAGAAAAAGGCGACAATTGCTGACTCTTACCACTAAACAATCGGGCAGAGCGTGTGCAGAGCGTGAATTTTGGCTTTTGACGCCAACTTTAACTTCATCATCTATATATATATATATATATAGGTATGTTTGCAGATGGTCCGAGCTCTCATATCCGTTATTGTTTGCTTTGCGTGTAATTTCTCTTTCATTTCACTTGAGCAATTGAAGCGAACGCTTATTTGCACTTTTGCCAAGCTCAAATTGTTGTTGACTAATATGTCACAATTGCCAAGTCAGTCAATTTATCTGATTATGCCCTCAGGGGATGCGATTTTCACTTGACTGCGGCGACAGCACGTGCTTATCATTTAATACCGTTTCACTTTCAACGATATGACCCTTAAACGGTGAAAAAAAGAAATAATCTAAAAATATATATTTAATTCGTATATTATTGTTTTTGTCTTTCAAGGAACCATTTGTTCGTAGTAAAAATTCTTAGGTAGGAATTTTCTATTTTAGATAGAAAAAGTCTTCATCAGGATTCGAAATTTTTGCATTCATTGAATTCATTTTTTTCTCTGTACAAAATATGAATATTTGGAGCATCCCATGCGTCTTTAATTACCTCATTTGTATGATATTAATCTCAGTTTATGTTACATAATAAAAACCCCCCAAGCCACAACAGACACAACAGTAACTAAAGCACACACAACTATGAAGTCACGAAAATGAAAAGCAATTTCAAGGCGTGCACCTGCAATAAACACAAAAAAGACCCGCCCACCTGCCCTGAGCTCATCCCGCCTGCCCCCTGTAGATGACACGCACAGAGGCACGATAGACAGAGAGAGATGGAGAGAGAGAGGGGGGGTGGAGTAGGGTCCAGGGCAAGAAGGGGGCCAAAGAGTAACAGTAGTATGAAAATACATTTTAATACACACAACTTTCATTTCTTGCGGCTAAAAAAAACAACAACAACAGCAGCAACAAAAATGAAGATAAACGAAAACAAAAACAAGAGCGCTCGAAAATGAACAAAAGCAGCAGCAGAAGAATATGGCATATGGGGAGTTAAGGCTTAAGCACTGCGCAGCACCTGTTTATCACCTCATGTGTTGTAATCTGTGTAGCTTCAACCAATAACAATAACAATATCTCAACGAAGAATGCTACACGTGTGTGTGTGTGTGTGTGTGTGTGAGAGAGGAGGCTGCTGAAGATGAGCAGCAAGTCATGCATAAGTCTTTCTTGAAGTGTGCATGTGTGTGTGTGTGTATGCGTGTGAGAGACAACCTTGGCACTAGCTCTCTTTAAACTTTCTCGCGACTGCGTTAAGCCCTTGCGCAGTCGACGTTGCCGTCAACGTCAACGTTGACGTTGACTTTCTTTAATGCGGAAGCGCGTGAGCATTTAGCGTTGGCGTTTGCAGCGCTCTTGCGCTCTTGCCTAATGAGTCTTCTAAGAAGAGACGATGCTGCTGCTGCTGCTGCTACCGCTGCTGCTGTTAGATCTACCTCTCTCTCTGTCGCTCTCTCTCTCTCTCTCTCTCTCTCTATCTGTCTGTCTCTGTGTGAACAATCAGTCGCACGTGTATATTGCTTTCTTGTAGGGAGCGGCTTTTTGATGGGCGCCCTCTCATATTTCATATGCGCTGCTGCTGCTGCTGTTGCTGCTGCTGCTGCTGCTGTTGCTGCTGTTGTTGTCGCTGTTGTCGCTGCCTGACCAATTGTTTCGTTCTCTCTTTCTCTCTCTGGCTCTGTACTTTTTACATAATTTGACGTTATGGCGTCGAGTCGTCGTTGCGTCCGTTAGGTTGGAAACTCTTTAAAAACAGCCTGACAGCGTCGAAAAATTATCAAACCGCAGCTTGTTCCATTCGAATGAACACACCAGTGATTTCGGTGGTGCTTAACACAATCAGTTTAGTTCAAAAGAAACAAACAAACAGCAAAACCATGAAGCACTTCATTGCCACCGCTTGTGTCCTTCTGCTACTGGCATCATCCGGCATCTCCGCCGATCCTCTCAAGGCAGCCGCCAACAACGATGGGATTCCATCGCCGGGCGGCGCATTTGCCAAATGCCTGGAAGCCGATTCCATCTCGTGTCTACAGCTCACGGTACGGATTAACCAAAAAAAAAAAAACAAGGATTAAATATTATACAAGAACGAACAAAAAAAAAAAAAGAGAAAAACATGTGTGGCACAGTGAAAGTGAAAATCAATATATAATAATTGATAACTGACTGAATCAGCAAGTGAAAGAAAGTCTCAAGTCAAAGACACTGCTACAAAAAAATAAAAGTTAATAAATAAATACAATCAGCAAGTGCAAAGGATGAAAGTGTGCTAATCAACGCTTTGGAATATTAACAATAACTGATGATAATTAGTAATGATTATGTTTAACTATAGTGAACTAATTGAACAATCCTCGCTAATTTGTGACTTCCCCTTCTTTCTTTCACGTGTCTCTTCTTCCTCTCCCATGCAGCTCTTCCGCAAGGCCAAGTCCATCTTCGACAATCCCGCCATCGAAATCTTCGGCGGCGTCTCATTGGTCAAGGCCAATGAAGGACGTCAGGGCAAATCGCTGGACAACACCCTGGCCGTTGAGGCCGCACCCACTGTGGAGGCGCGCACCGCCGAGATGGGCAACTATTTCATGGACAATGCGAAGAGCTTCTTCGCCGAGCGTTCGCTGAACTTCAACTTTGCCAATGCCGCACGCAGTGTTGCCCGCGCCATTCCCGATGACATCAAGGCCGATCTGCGTGAACTGGTTGTTGAGTCGCGTACCCGCAAGAAGAAGCTGCTGAAGAAGTTCCTGCCCATCCTTTTGGGAGTCGGCGCTAAGGTTGCTGTGCTCGCTGTTGGCGCCATCATTGGTCTCTTCTTCATGGCCAAGAAGGCTCTGATTGTCTCCGTGATTGCCTTCGTCCTTGCCCTGGCTGCTGGTGCTTCCAGTGGTTTGAGTCGTCTGGGCGGTTCGGGCGGTTCCGGCGGTGGTCTGCTCGGCGGCTTGGGTGGTCTGTTCGGTGGCAAGAGCTCCAGCTCGTCTTCGGTCAGCTCTGGTGGCTGGTCGTCGGGCGGTGGCTCCTCCGGCGGTGGCTGGTCTTCGGGCGGCAACTCGGGCTGGGATTCGCATGGCGCCTACAGTGCGCCAGTGGCCCAGACCATTGCCTACCAGGGCTACAAGCAGACCAGGCGGTAAGCCATTGGGGCATCCAACCCACCAAAACTGAAATCGATGAGTGACAAGGAGAGAGAACATTCGCTGCTAAAGCACACGCACACAAAATGATGACAATTTTCTATGAATGTCTATACATATATATTTATATTTATTTATAAATTATTTATTTTAATTTATTTACCTAAAACGTGAACGAGAGACGGGGGCGAGGTGCAAAAAAATCACCCCACCCCCAAGAAACAAACAAAGCCAATTAAGTGCATTCCATAAGAATGAATCTCTCAGAAACGAGAGACAACAACAACAATAACAACAACAACACACCACCAAACACCACTCAACACCACCACCACCACCGAACTTCACTTTTCATCTACACACCAAAAACAAACAACAGTCAACACCCAACAACACAACACAACAACATCTACAACAACTACAATCTATACTTTACTCTACACACCCTAATTTCACTCTTCTACTCTGTAATCTATACTCTGCTATCTTAACTGAATGTTTTCACGGCTTCACTTTGATTTATGTGCACAAAATACTTGAAACTAGTCGCGCCCATTAATCAAAGGCAAGTCACTGTTTGCTCTAACTATCATCAATCTATCAGTCTATCTATCTATCAATCTGTCTATCTATCTATCTATCTATGCATCTGCCAACTACTGTCTACCTCTGTATCTGTATCTGAATCTGTATCTGTATCTAAATCTCATTACTGTGTTTTCCTACATTTACCGCAAAAGAAAACTCTATATCAAATGCTGCTACATCAAAGAATCAAATAATAATTCCGAAAATATACAAATCAATGATCTTTTCATTTCCAACCCATTTTCCCTTTCAATTTGCATTTTTCAGACATCACTCATACGCCTCATTGTCAGCGATTTGCATTTGCTCTGCGACTTCATAACTTTCATTTCGTTTCATTTCATTCTTTGTTATCAATACCCAAAAATCTACAAAATGCTTTCAAAAAAAAAACAAATTTCACCCACTTATTCATTTTTTCTCTTGTTAATCTTCATTTTCACTGCACTTTCCTCAGCTCTCGTCTCTCTCTCGCTCAATCGTTATAAAGGCGCAGAATACAACAAAAGCAATTTGCTAAAAAATAAAACAAACATTTCGCTACGCGTATTTTATTTTTTTGGGCTCATTCAAAAGCGGTCGGCTTAATGCAACAACAATGGACGCGTATTTTGCACCTGTCTGCTAGCCATTATATTCAGAATTGGCCATTGTTGTTAGCCGAGGTGCTAAACAACAAAATTGAAGAAAGTTCGAGACGCCTCCGAAAAACGACGACGCAACAATCGAAAGAGCCGCAACTTTACCTAACTGCAGTTGGCAACGGCGCTTTAGGGCCAAATGCGTCTACGGCGCTTTACTTATGAATATGACCCAGTTAACACGGGCTGCGCACTTGGCCGATACCAATACCAATAACAATACCTATGCCGATGCGGCAGCCTCAGTCGATGCTGTGCGTCTGCCATTGCCCTTAACTGCCATGCTACGTGCCTCTTGGCTCAAACTTCAGCTTTGGCTTTGGCTTTGGCTTTCTTCAGACAAATGTCAGCAATTAATGTGTCTGTCTCTTAAGCATTCATTGAGTTTTTTTTCTCCTCTGCTCCTCCTCTTCTTCTTCCACTCTATGCTCATTTGGGCCATCTTATCGCCAACTGTTAGATTTGCTTAGCATTTAACTTTTTGTTTATATTTTGTTTTTTTTTGTGCCCGCTTAAAGCGCTAGTTTTGTATACCTTTGTTGTATTGTGGTATTGTAGTTTCTTAAAGAAGTTGGTAATGTAATTTAAAGGAGACTTTTGCGCACTTACACTTAATGTCTTCTTGATCAACATGTTTACATAGTTAATTTAGCCATGTTCGTCTGTCCAACTACAAAGTTTATTATGCAAAGATTACCATAGATATTCATTTTGTTTGAGTTTTATTATGGCCACAATATTGGCCAACTTATCGCAAAATAATTGGCAATTTAATTCGATTCTGCAAAAAGGGTGTGCAGTCTTCGACATATTGAGGACAATTGTTCTTTGTAGCTTATCTTCGTGACTTGCTCAGCATTTGTTCCACTGTTATTCAAGTGAAACTTATATTTATGTTGTTCACGCCTTAAAATCGATTGCTAGACACGTTAACAGAGTGTCATTGCCATACCCCAATTGTGGGCGTCAGTTTACAAGTTTTGCCGAGATTCTGAAGTGGCATGCTGCTTGTTGCGTGCTGCGTGCTGCGTGTTGCAGCAGCTGGCTTTTAGAAAGTGAAAGTGTCTGTACAAGGAATTCAAATTAATTTTATACAGTGTCATTGTCATGACAAAAAGGCAACTTCAGTTGACACTTTTTACTACTATTGTTAGGACATTGCTACAATGTAATATTTAAAGTTGTAAAAAACACCGGTGACTCGTTGTGGCCATCAGCCTTACACACCACAAAAAACATAGCATGCAAAAAAGATGACATGCAAATATGTATTGAAAATCAATGGAAAATAAAACCTAAGAAATGAAATTTCAATCGCTTTCGAATGCTTTAATGAATTTAAATAAAACCAGAGACTTTACGAGATATCTCTATAGTCTTTGTTAAAGATGAATGAAATTAATGAATAATATATTTTCACAAAGGGTTACCAGCAAACTAGTTTCTTAAACTATTTAAAAACTATTGAATTATGGAGGAGCATCGACGATCTATATATTGGCTTAAAAATCTTTATGCTATCTGACGCAGATTTGAATAATATATATTCCAATTCTCTTAAGGTAAAAAAGTTACTTATATAAAAACCAAATTAATCGTATATTTCTAACTTCGGTACCAGGATGTAATGAATGAAAAGTAATTTATCATTGTGGGTAAATCTATTTTTCAAATGCATGCATCATTAAAATAATAAAAAGTCATTTGAAAAATCATTAAAATTGATAAAAGGTTAAATTAAGTTACAAGGTGTCACAATGAATTTGCTGTATGATATTGCAGATTTCCATTTATCTAAATTTATCAGAAACTAAAAGAACTAAAAAAAAAGAAAACTTAGTTATGTTTTTAGCCAATAAGGTTGGTTAAACGCATTGCCTTCAAAAAAATTAAACTATCGCGGGTTGCTAAATGGCTTTGGCTATGTAAATAGGTATCATATAACAAACTTCAGAAGTTTACAAGTACTTAGAAGGTTTCTGTTAATGAACTTTTAATTTGCGTAACATAAATAAAGATGAAGGCAATTTAAAGTTTTAAGTTTCCTTAAAAATTTATTTTCTACAGAAATCAAAATATCCTTAATCATTCGAAGCTTGTGTTACTGAATAACAGATAATAAGTTTTAAATTAAAGCATAAATTAAAGCTGAGAGTTTGCGAGCTGCGCTTAAATGTACACTTTAAATCGTGATTAGTTTTTAAGCGCAGCTTAAAGCTTACAGAAGATAGTTGGTAAAGCAGAAAGTTTAACTGCTCAACGCTTTCAAAGTGCTTTCACCAACTTTCTTCGAGCTACCGCTAAAAAGTAGGCAATCGTAATGATAGCTGACAAAACCACAGTAACCACTGTTAATGCGATTGTGTGTTTTGTCTTTAAGGTCAGGCTCGAACTGTGGTTGAAGACACGACTGAAACTGATTGAAAAGCTTTCGACCAAAAACTTGTTGTGCGGTTTCACATTTCAAATGCGCTGCACGTGCGACTTTGTTATTGGCCTTTTATGGTCTAAACAACTGTCGCAAATGCAGTGGAAGTGGCAGAGGCTGTGGATGTGGCAGTGGCAGTGGCCGTGGCTGTGGCAGTGGCAGTGGCAGTGGCCGTGGCTGTGGCTGTAGCAGAGACGCAGAGTGTGATATAGTTACAGTTGTGGCTTACGCCGTTGTTGCTGTTGTGTTGCCTGTTTTAGTTGTGCTATTGGGAGTTGTTTGTGTTTGCAATGCTGATGTTGATGTTGTTGCCTCGTGCGCTTTTCCGGTTTGCGGTTTGGCGGTTTGGTGGTTTGGTAGTTGGTTGGCTTGGGCATGGGTCAATGCACACTTTACGGATTTGGCTTTGAAATGCTGGCCATTTCACTGCGCAGCTAGCCAGGTGTGTGAAAGTGTTGCAATATGCGCTACTGTACCTACCAGCTTACTAGCAATAATTGAACACTCTCGACCTGACATTGAATAATACGCACGACAATATACAAATATAAATATATATACAAATAAACATTGGCATCTGGGCTTGGGCTCACCAACCAAAAAGACAAATAACATATACAAATAGTATCTGTTTAGTTCACAGACACAAACACACAAAATTTGATGTGTGAAAGTTGTCAGTTTGCCACTTTTATTGTCAACATATTAACAAATAAACGAATCGAAATTGACAAACGTACTGCCGATAATGTTGATAATGATGCTGTTCATCACCATCATCCTCATCGTCATAATGATCATGGTGATAGTGATGTACGCACAATGGCCATAATGTACGGCAACTGTCAACCTGGTTAACGCGTATCGCTTTTGGCCAAACAAAAGAACAAATCGAGTTAACAACAACCGAAAGTGAAATGCCATTTTCGGCCCGTATAAGTGCGCGATTGTGTGTGTGTGTGTGTGTGTGTGTGAGTGTATCACAGTTGATCATAAAGATAATGACAATTTCTTTAATGAAATGCCTTGAAAGTGAAACCCGTGCAATTAAAAGCAGATCGGGGCAGCAGCAACAGCAGCGACCACGCCCACCTGCCCATCCGCCCGTTTTTCGGCTTTCGCTTTTTGGCCAGGCAGCCCAGGTATTACACAACTTGGAGGCGTGACTGCACAAAAAGGCGTGAGGTATTTGCATTTATGCGCAGGGCTTCGTTATTTTCTTGAAATTTCGAAATATGTAAAAGTTTCGGCTTTAACAACTGCCTGATACTCTTCACCAAAGATGTTGGAAAAGGAAAAAAATCGTAGCATTTTTCTACCTCGTGTGGTTAAGCTAGGAGTAGTATAGGTACAGCAAAAATCTTGAATTAATCTATTAAGAGCCCTTTCATTTGATTTATATTTATCGGTGTTCCAAAAATTATTATTATTAGTTACAGCAATTTAAATTCTTATCAACTTTTTCCTTCATTATGTGCTTGAATTGAATAAATCTCTTCGTTCCTTTTTTCAAGTGTGCTTGAAAAGAATTGTAAAGACTACATTCGAGGTCATTCCAATTTAATTTCAATAGTTTTGGTTTTCTATCAAAATATATTCAAAAATATGCCGAACAACACGTATTATTTGATAAATACCAAGCTGGTGTCTCACGATGTCTTTCGCTGACATTAACAATGCCTCAATGACTTTATGATACCCTTACTTAAGTATTTGATGCCAGCAGGGTATTCAATAACTAAAACTTGAGCTCGAAAATAAAGAAAAAAAAGATTATGAAGTGGAAACTCTCACTTTTACGATTATTTTTCTTCTACATAGCTTTCGGTCGTCATTGTCAGCGACATTGTTGTAGTTATTGTTGTTGTTGCTGTTGTTGTTGTTATTGTTGTGTTTTCTTTTGTTATTAGAGTTGTATGTATTTTCTGTCCCATAATGATTAGACTTTCGCAGTCGCGTCTGGGCCTTGTTCAGTTT